GTGCTGGTGTCATATCATGTAGGATTGTACATATAAATGGCACCTTTTGAAAACCCCACGGATTTGCAAGGTTTAAAAAAACCGTGTAGCACCAGTGACACCTGCAGGAACATGCTGGTTGGAACAGCAACGGGAAAAAAATGCCAAAATGAGGCTTCTGTGAGAAGCTATTGTAAGGAAAGCCAGCAGATATACCCACAGTGCCTGCCTTCCAGGCATATTTAAGCCTACGCGGGCATATTTAAGATAAAAATTTTGGGCAGAGTTGTTTAGCAAGGAGAGAAAGTAAATTAACAAGTATACGCACAAGCGAAGATCGGAGCACTGTACCAACATTCAAAGGCAAGAGAGTTTGATCCAGCTTGAAGTATAGCACCCAGATCACAAAAAAAAAAAAAAAGGGCTAGAGCGGGAAAGTCTTCAGAGAACAATACCTAGTGATTACCAGTGATACACAAAATAGTCTGCTTTTTCCACTTCCCTGAGTGCACAGTAAAAAATTTAATTTCACCTTAATCTTCTCTCATTACATGATGCTGTTCCACTTTTGCCACACAAAAATCCAGCCACTCCACTTTATGCCAGTTACCCTATTTACACTAGGAAAGCTGTTTCTAATGCACTTCATTATCACTGCTGGTAAAATATTGTGTTTAAAATAAATGCATGCAAGTTAAAATCAAGACCAAAGGAAAAAAAATTGATTTCTTTGCTCTGGATTAATTTTTTTGTGTTTCTTGGCTTAAAACATGTTTTATGTTTTGTGGAAAATCCATGCCAATATGACTGGGGAGCTGTTGAGCAAGGCACAGAGAAATATGTGCCAGAGCAGATCTATCAACACTACAACAGTATGGAGGAACAGGAACTACCTGTTGCAAAATGAGAAACCTGGTAATACAGGAAACCCAAGAAATGTGGTGAGTCTGCAAGGAAAAGGAATGCAGCATTGAATGATACAAGTGAAGAGAAGATTGATATAAAGTATTAGGATAACACTGGTAAAAAAAAAAAAAAGGTTAAAAGTGGGATCTGGAATTTTTTGAGGGGAAGAAGGCAAGAGATCCTTTGCAGGCAGAACTGACAGAACAGAGAACCTCCTGGGGAGTCCTTGATCCTTGGTTTTCACCCACTGGTGTGATTTCTTTCTGAGAGATGAGTGATATCACACACTATGCTGCTGTGGATGGCTTCAGTTCCCCAGGCATGGCTGGGGCAGAACATGACAAAACGTGAGGTGACAAGCTGGGTCCAAGGCCATCTCAGCAACCTCAAGATGGGTCCAAGGCCAATCTCAGTTAATGCCTCAAAAAACCAGAAGACAGTGCTCAGAGCAGCCTAAAAGCACTCATGCATCTCAGGAGAGGACCACTCCAGTTTCATGATGCTCTTGGGCCCAAGGCTCATGTAAGGAGTGGAGGTCCAGGGGAGGTCAAGTCATGGCAATTAAATTCTATTGGGTGCCCACAAGGCCCTCACATAGAGTAAGACTTAATTGCTCTTGACTTAGCTTTCTCAGCAACAGGTTCTTTTCATGAGTTCTTTTTGTTAGAGCCCAAATAAGATTTCTTTCATGAAGGACTCAGGTGTTGTTCACTAATGAAACTTAAAAGCCTCCTCTCCAAGGTCCAGACCTTGCTAAAAAGCATGGCACTATATTTTATCCAACTTTAGATTTTGGTCTTAGGTGAACATCTGAATTTTGGGTTGTTTTATGGTTCTACCAGTCCAAGGGAGAAGTGAAATCTGCATCTGACAGTGGTATCAGATTTTCCCTCTAACCATCAGCCTTACTGATGCCTTTCATCAGCATGGATCCCAAGCCATGGCTTGCAGGACCTGCACTGACCTTGGGCTCAGAGCAGGCACAGGAAGAATCTCATGCCATGAGCATGAAAGCATCACTTAGGCCAGTAATGCAGCTTATTCATTCAGCTCCCACAAGGACTCACTGTCCACAAGAGTCTTCTTGGTCTAAACCCTTCCCCTGGCAATTCCAAGTGTTTCCACAGCCTGGATGAAAGGTAGGGAGTACAATGTACAGAGATCTTGTGAGACACCACCTGGAGTTCAGTATCCAGCTCTGGGGTCCCTGAAATAAGAAGGATATTGACCTGTTGAAGCAGGTCCAGAGGAGGGATACAAACATGATCACAGAACTGGAACGCCTTTCCTATGAAGACCATAGGAGTGAAGACCACCGCCTTTCCTATGAAGACAGTCTGAGTGAGTTGGAGTTGTTCAGCCTGGAGAAGGTTGTTCAGCTCCAGAGAGACCTTGAAACAGCCTTCCAGTACCCAAAGGGGGCTACGAGAGAGCTGGAGATGGACTTTTTATAAGGGCATGTGGTGATAGGACAAGAGGCAATGGCTTTAAACTGAAAGAGAGCAGGTTTAGATTAAATATTAGGAATAAATTCAAGAGTGGTGAGGCACTGACACGGGTTGTCCAAAGAAGTTGTGGATGCCCCATCCCCATCCCTGGAAGTGTTCAAGGCCAGGCTGGATGGGGCTTTGAGCAATCCTCTCTAGTGGAAGGTGTCCCTGATGTACAGATGATCTTAAAGGTCCCTTCCAATCCAAACCATAGCATCAGTGCTACGATTCTGTGCCTTTCTCTGCTGGAAATAATATCTACATCAGAAGAATAAAGAGACTAATCCAGCCCCTTACCTAAACAAAGTCCATTTTTCTCTCCCACCAGCTTCTTTCTGACTACTCTATCCTACTAACAGTAGCTCAGGAAAAGTGAGGGAGATAAGACCAACTAGATTCACAACTTATTTCCCACTACAGTTGCAAAAGCTGACAAAAGTAAGCCAGAGGTACTACTGAAATATCTGCCCATGCCTCTAAAACCAAATTTGCACCTAGAAGCACAGTGCTGTTAGAGTGTTTATTCTGACAACTTTTAACATGTCAACTCAGCCCAAATGGAGGCAGAGCCAGGTGTTTCACTGCCCCTCAGAGCACCTAAGCCTGTCCTCCATATCTTGTATCAACTAACCTCAACTTGCCTTTCCTTGGCTTTGCACAGGACACTGCTGCAGAATTCATAAATAAAATAAAATATAAATAAAATATAAATAAATACATTATAAATAAATCTCTGTTGATGCCAGCACTCAGCTCTTGTGGCCTGTACCAAAGAGCTGTGGCAGAGACCAGGGTGGTACAAGAAGAAAGCAAAAGATGTGAGCAAGGAAGAGGAAGAACAGAAAAATGTAACATGTCATAGATATAAGATTATGTGTTCTTATCTACATATGGAAATAGCTAAATTTCAAAAATATCTTTTTGATAAGCTAACCAGAACGAAATCTTTAACTCGGCATTGCTGACACAGTGGAAAAATATGTATTATAAACTTTAAGGAGGATTTGCTCTAAAAGCTGACATAGAAGGATCTGTTTGCGCGTGTTCAACACCACTGACTTTACAAGTTGCAGTTTAAAAGAATGACAAAACTTTGCAGGTGAAAGACTGGTACATGCTGTGCTTGAAGAAAACAGGTGGGTGTGGTGGCTCTTGTGTTTTGTGTTCTGACATGCTTTGGAGATACACAAATGCTGACTTCTAGCAGTAATTACTAGCCCAACTCACTGGCCAAAATCTTATAAAAAATGAAAAAACATTTCTTCAAAGTAGTTTGTATTGAATATTAGAGACAATATTGTCAGAGACAATACCTCTTGCGTTGCTGAATACATGTGTAATTTGTGTAAATAGAAGAGTATAAATTATAATATAGTCACGTAATATAGCAAAACATATAACTATGATTAAATGGTAGTTCAGCCTAGAAGAACATTCAGAAGATGGTTAAGTAAAATATACTAACATACTATATGAATATACACCAAAAAAAAAAAAAACAGAAGATAAAATGGACATCAAATACCTCTCACATTTCTTTAGTTTTCATTCTTCCATTTATTTCCTAGCCTTATACATACTGACTGTGTGATGAAAAGAAATTATTTACATTTTAAAGTTACACCTGTTTATTTAGTAAGGAAGTTAATACCTGGTAATTGCAGAGCCATGAAAGTAAATAGTCCTTAACAGTATGGAAAGTGTGTACTGAAAGAATATCACCTCCAAGCTCTCTCAGTTCTCACCACACATACTACAGGCAGCCATCCAGGCCAGCCATTTTCCTGGCTCATGCAGAAAAACAAACACAGCCTTACACAGTGTGTAAGAAATATACCATTTATCACAGCCTCCAGCTGAGGGCTTGTAACAGAAACAGAACTGGATTTTCCCCCACAAGGGGTAAGAACAAATACTTCTCTTTCTATGATCTCTCAAAACTACATCTGAAGAAGTCTGGTTTCTTGCAGAATAGTTGGACATCCACATAAATGCTTTGCACACCTGAATTCTCTACTGCTGCATCTGAGCAAATATAGCGAGCGATGCCCTTCTGCTGAGAACACATACATCCAAGTTTTTGAAAGTAGTTCCTATTTGCTTCTGATGGCCAAAACCTTTAGTGAAAGGAAGTAATCCTGCTATGTGCCTGGAAACACAAATCATAACTTCATAGGATGTTTCGTATAGACAAAAATCAAGTTCTGAATGCAAATTGTTCAAAAGAGGAAGAACATAGAAGACAGCAACTCTAGAATACTATTGACCCAATGGGTAATATACCATTTTGTTGTATTTTTAACTAATGTCACCTGTGAACACAAATATAAGAGGTACTTCAATTGAAGACAACATTTTCAGCAATCAGAATTAAGATAAATTGGACAGACTACTAGGAAAAGTCAGACAGAGGCAATAGCCTTTAAATGACCAATTTAAATAGCTGGAAAAAGTACACAAACCTTGGTCATGCACATTTGTCTGCAGGAGGACATTTCACAGAAGGCTTATTTAGATTTTTGCAATACTAGTTTAATCTCCTGGAAAAGACTAAATCTAATTTCAAACAGTACCTACTTACATCCCTCATCCAGCTCCTCTTGAACCTAGTTTTTCTTCTTCCTTCTAAAAAGAACCTGATCTCAGTGTTGCAAACTTTTTGTGACATAATATTTTCAGAAAAGCCATTCGAAATTTAACATGACAGAGAGGGTAAAGAAATGGGTTCAAAGAGGAATTGATCCACAAAAGCCAAAAGGTTGCTTCATATAGAAAGTTATGGACACAAGTTCCCTGGCAGGGCCCACGGATAATCATTAATAAAGAGTATGGGGCCCAGCAAATGGCAAACACACAGACAATTATGGCAAGAGACTTCGCTATTTTCTTGTCCCGTTACAGTTTTAATCTGGTCTTTGCACAGAAAGAAGCAGAAAAGTCATTTTCTGGGGTTACAGAATTGTCTCTGGATGAAGATGAGCAGTCAGTTCCCAAAGACTCTTTTTTTGGTCTCATGGAAGAAGAAACACTGTCCTCTTCTTCTGACGAAGGAGATGATGCCCCTGGCCTCGGCAAGCCACAAAACCTCCAGGACAGGCTGCTGCTCCTCGGAGGCTCACAGTCCTGCACGCTGCCACGCCGCTGGCGCCGCTGGATGTTGTGGAAGATGTGCACGTTGAAGTAGGTCACCAAGAGCAGCGGCACAAAGAACTCCAGGGTGGATGCACACAGCAGGAAGTACCAGTTGTTGAAGAACTCGGCGTAGCACTGATCCACCGCTACCACGCTCTGTCCGGCCACGTGCTCCCAAAACAGGATGGCTGGGCAGTACAGGAGGAAGGCAAATAGCCAGATGGCCACCATCTTGATGGCAGGGTTGGATGTTATTCCCTGCTGAGCTCTGTAAGATACCTGCAAGGGCAAAAAATATTAAAAGTTCAGACTTGTAGAGACCCATTTTGGGACTAAGAGAAGCAGCTGGAAATGATCTCAAGAGGTGCTTGGTAATACAGAGATGTGGCTGTGCTGATCAGCTGAAGCTCACTCAAGCATGTTTATTTCATTGATGCTGGCAGTGCATAGGGTTGTCTCCCAATTAATGTCACTGTACCAGGGTCCAGGTCCAGGGCATGAAACACGATCATCCATCAATACCTAGTAATTTGGTGGGCCTTGTTTGAGATACCTATGGTCTGAACTGCCAGAGGAATTAGCACTTTGTAGCTGTTGGGACCTTCACTCCCATTCACTGGAAACTGCACTGCTTTTTACAGCATTTTACAAACAAATAACTGTATGCATCATGGTGCTCAACAGAAAAGGTGGCACATGGATTTAACCTATAAGACAATTACTTACTAGACAATTCATGAGGATGAAGGAATAGACACCACACCTGCACCACAGCTGATGAAACTAAAAAAATCACCCATTTTCTTCCTTCTACATCCACTCCAGGGCCAGTACCTATTTTCCACTATATGTTGCAGAACAGATAGATACAATGTGGCTCACATCTCTTTCACACGATGAATGTGTAATTCTGCAAGCTTAGACATCCAATTGATAACAAAAGTTTGAGTTAATGTCACTAGAACTACCATACAAATGTTCATAGGTCTTAATTGCATTTGTATAGGTGCTCTGAATTTTGCAATTTGTAAATGCTGAGTCTTTGGCTTTCCAGCGTAAGGTTTCTTACACACCAAAAATTTTGGTGTTTGGTTTCCAAGACTTTTTCTTTAAATAAAATAAAATAATAAAATTTATTAAGAAGGCAGTTATAGGAAGTTAAATTAATTACGACAAATAAGACTGAAATTCTGTTGCATGAAGTTATGTTGACAGTCTCATACACACAAAAGAGCTGTGACATTCCCTGCCACCTGAGCGAACAGTGTGGCTGGTGAGAAATGCTGGCCTCCACCCTAGCATGGCCCAAGACACAGAGCTCACACCAGGTGTGTAGAATTCTCTGCAGCAAGCAGAGACAGAATGTGTCTGAAGTTTGGGGTTCTGCTCCACACACAATGAAGAGTTTATTGATGCATATCTACAGGCAACGATTGCAGTCTGCCCTTTGTTCCACTTTCTGCCTGTTTGCTCTTCCTCCCAGTCTTATCCAGAATAATTTTTGACCACATCTCAGGCCTAGACACCCTCCCCAGTGTCCTTGATTTTACTGCCCTAGCTCCACTGTAATTTACTTTCATGCCTGATTTTAGGTCCAAACCCAAATCCCATTTACTCTGAATTTCCTCTTTCCCTGACCCTTTTTTACCAATCTGCTGCCTTACCCTTTTTACCCCCTAAACTGCTTTTCCTCAGGCAGTAACATGACAGCAGCTTGAGCAGAAATTGTGAGAAAACTCCTGGTTGACTGGCTCTGCAGTGAAGCATGCCCAGTGTAGAATATTCACCCCATCTGGCTGAAAAATATCTAATAATCATCACATGCCAGTATATTTTTGAGGAGTATTATCTTCGTTAAATTTGATCTTATACTCATCATGGCAAAGGTTGGTGAATATAACCATCCAAGGAAAAAAATCAGAGACGCTCTAAACAGGTTACTTACAGCTTTTGTAACTGACAGGAAACGGTCGTAGCTGATAAGAACAATGTTAAACACTGAAGCTGTGCAGAGGAGATAGTCCATGACCAGCCAGAGCTTGCAGATTCCTCTTCCCAAGTGCCATTTCCCCGTCAGGCTGTAAGGGATGTAGAGGGGCATGCAGAACACACCTGCAGAAAGCAACCAGAAAGACACCATGAGGTTCATAGGGATTGCAAACTCCTGGAAGCAGAGAGACACACTGTTTTGGCATTCGGGTAAAAAAAAAATCAACAAATCTATTAAGGTGAATATGTAATTTATATACATAAGTTCCTAAATTCTCATGAAATCTGATGGTGACTTTCTATTAAGGTAAATATTATGTAATTTATGTAGTTTATATACATAAGTTCCTAAATTCTCATGAAATCTGATGGTGACTTTCTATGTCTTAGTGTGATTTGTGTATGCTTATTGTTGAGAATAAGCTGAAAGCAATTCAGCAAAGGATTTACTGAAGAGGAAAATACAAGTCTAACCAACTTAGACTCTCTAAAGGTATAAAATTAGTGCTGCAGCATATATGCACTGCGGTTGCATTCTGATAAGTAACCTCATCATTTTATTTCCTCTATTCTTTCATCTGTATTAGAATTTTCCCTCAAACACATCTGCAGATGTTGCCAATGGCAGTTATTCCTGTAAAATTGGTTAGCATTTGTAAACTGAAGACAATATATTGGACAGTCTGTGTGGTGTTCTACCAGAGATAGAGCAGACACAGCAGAAGTATGAAACTCTCATTTTTAAGGAGTGTTTTAATTTCATGCTTCTTCTCCACCTGAGAATAACTCTAGAACTATTTTGTTTTGTTAAATTTGTGTTTTGTCCAAAAGACCTTCCACTGAAGTACTTCATTAAGAAAATCATGTTTGTGTTCTATTTTTAAGCAAGCAACTTCTTTATTTTAACACTAATATTCTTTCAAAAGTGTGCTGCAATAGCTGATTTTACATTCCTGAAAACCCTAATCTACCAGAGACAAATAGAAAATTATATGCTGCATCAAGATCCATTTAAAACTCTCCAGATGATTCCTTTCTTGACAAGTCTGTCATGATCTTAGAAGTTACTAAACATATCCAGTGTGATGTGGTCCACTGACAACAAAACTCTGGGCAAAGAGCTGCCAGACTGCTGCCAACCAGGAAATGCTCAGTGCTTTCCATACTGATGGCTTATTTTAACATATTCCTTAAATACAAGCAGCATCACTTTGGTGATAAATACTAATTTTTCATGGCTGTTGATAACAGCTACTGTTCTCATGAACTTCAATGGGATCAATGTTTGGCACCATGTCAAAAAGTAATGACTGTTTTGAGCTATACATATAAATATAGAGGCAAACCCCAGGTTTTAAGCATTGATATTTGAAGCTATTCTTGCTTTGACTAATTGGTGGACACAAAAGACATGAGTCACATCCCTGTAAATATTCCAGACTTTTAATAAACTAAAAAAAAAAAAAAACCAACCCCACAGCAAATTCAGAAAATAAAGTATTTCCTGACCAATATCAGAGGCAATCTTAGATTTACAGTCTGTATAGGCCAATCTAATACTGATGGCAATCATTTCCTCTTGGCTGATTCAAGAACGCATGAGGCACCAGCCACAAAGAACGGATGCATAAGGTAGATATTTAATTCTCTTGACTAAACTATGAGATATGAGGAGAAACAGACTTTTGCAGAAGACCTGAGCAATGAAATAGCAGCTTCAGCAAATTTTCTGCCTTAGCAGGAAAGCAAAAGCTACATCATATGCATCGTTTTCTGCCCCATGGGGCAAGTCCCAGAATAAGGCAATGTGTTATAAATGGTACAAATGAAGGAAAACCTTAAAGGCTAAACTAATACACTTCACTACACAGCACTGACAAAGGAACAGCATTGGGGGGATGGTATTGTCAGAAGTACAGTAGGTCTCTGGCCACGATTTCCTTTCTCACGGTTCAGTAAATGCTGGTCTCTGCGACCATCCTGAAGAGAAAGCCTTTGTGTGCAGAAGTGCCTCCTTGCCAGCCTCAAGTCAAGACATTTGCTGGCACATCTGCCACAGGACTGTGGTTTTGTCAGGCTTTCTCTGCTGCATGGGCTGTTTGCCTGGCTTCAGCCACGGAGGAGTGCTGCAAAAGGCATTCACTCCACCATCAAACTCACTTGGCATCACCAGCCAGGACTGGATCCATGGCAGCTCCAGCAACAAACTCTCCTGGACTTTTGCAGTGTTGCTGTGGGAAGAGAGGACCAATTAGGAATATAGATGAGGGATGCCAGCAGGGTGTCAAACTGGTATCAAACAACCCATCAGATCAATAGCCTGAGTTAAGCTGAAGCCAGTAAAAAGTCCTGGTGATAAAGTGTCTCACTGTAGTGTAATACATTCATAAACCATTAGTACTATGTAGAGAGTAATTCATGTATCTGGATGTATCACACATAGCTGTCAAATATAAGCTGTTCTGAAGAGTGTGATGAACACCTTATATTTGGAGAGGCAAGGGTAAATCACAAACGGCAGCAAACAACCTCTTCAAGAAGTATTCACATATAATAGTCACTCCTTTTTTTTTTTGAATCAACATTAAAAGTATTTATATGAAAAAGAATGTGTTTTTCATTATAATACATTTTGAGACATATTGGGCTATTAAAACACTTCATGCAGCTTCCACCATTCCACATCCTTCCTCCAGATACAGCTGGGAAATAGTTCTCTCAGAAGAAAACACACGGAAAATAAACACCAGTGCTTCTCCTCAGAGTCCTACAACACAATTAGCACATGGCTCCACAGCTCTCACTTACCCACTGCAAAGTCAGAAACAGCAAGATTCAGAAAGAAATAGTTACTCCGATGCCTGAGGTTTCTGTCCATAAAAAAAGCAAGGATCACCAGCATGTTTCCAAGCATGGTCACCAGACACAGCAACACCATGAGGAAAGCCAGCAGCACCAACACACCCAAGGAGAACTCGGAGCTCGGCGACTGCATGGGCCAAGTCTCGTTACACGTCGCAGCCGCGTGCGGAATTTCGGCGGTGCTGTTGTGCATGGTGGATATCCAGGTGAGGTCAGTCTGGGAAGGAAGTTGTATCTGGCAAAGTTATCCAAAAAGTTGAGACAAGTCTATTAACAGGCTGGGCTGAATACTGAAACATAAAAATAAAAGATTCGCAATATAAAAAAATTTTAACACAAGACTTCAAGACGTGGGCTCTCTGGCGTTTCTTGATCTGAATGCCAATAGGTATTGGACAATAGGTATTGGCCTTAGAAATGACACCTCATAATCAGTGTCCTTCCTGGACATGGATCCTTATCTACTAATGTCAAAAAAGCTTGTCTGAAGATAATTCTTTTCACAGTCAAGCAGTTTATATATTAGCAATGTGTGAGTGGTTTTGCACACCAAAATGTGCTGAAGATAAAACCATATCTCATTTTCACCTCCACAGTGGTGAACAGGGTTAAAATTATTACAATTCTATTTCCATTACAGTAAAATGTAGACACTTTTGCACTTGCTGCTATATCACTTTTTAAATTTTACAGTTAATAACAGAGAGATATTTCTTAGTGTTGCTGGTTAATGTATTTGTAATACAGTTCCATGCAGCAGAAGCATCACCAATACCTCTTCAGCTCACCCTAACCAGAAATTCTGGGCAGAACAAACTAAATACTTGCACTTCAGAGGTCTTTATGGTGTGGGCCATCTAATCCTGCACCTGACAAGGAATCCTAGATAAGCTTTTACTCCATTAATTACCAAGCCTTTAGCCCTTTTCAGGTGTGAGAAAAGATATCCCTTCCTCAGCACAACTCAATTTATTTTGATGGGAATGCACAGAATTTGGTAGGCCGTGGCTGTGGCTGACACTCACTGACTCTGCAGCACCATGGCACACCAAGTGACCAGCATTTCCAACTGCAGCCATAATGCCAGCTACTTGGGAAGATGTAGGGCAAGAAACAAGGAAAGAGAGGATAGGCAAGATGTGGGGAGGAAAGATGCAGTGCTCTGCTGCCATATTGAGGAACAAAGGGAATTATGTTGTAAAGAGTCATTAAAGCAAAAGGTGTAAGGATGACAGAAACAGAAGAGACCTCAGGAATGGCAAAATGTGGCAATGAGACACGGCTGCTTTAGATGTGTGTGCACAGCTGCAGCCTGGGAAGCATAGACGAAGTACTGGAGCTTCCTGTGCAGTCTCCAAGCCACACTTGCCATGGGTGACATCAGGGTGAGAGCACATTGCAGAGCTCAGGGTGAGGGAGGTGATTAAGCCTTCTTTAAGCAATGCAAGGAAGCTTCTGGACCACAGAACCTGCTTCTTATGTAGGACTTCAGCATTCATGGCATCTGCTGGAAGTGCAACACATCAGGTCCCAGCAGTGAACAAAGTTCCTGGAGACTGTCAGGGGGAACTTTCAGATACAAGTCCTGCCTGGGCTAATGGGGGTGATGCACAGCTGAATCACCTGCTCAGTGGTAAAGAGGAGCTGTGTGGGGACACGCTATCAGTGCCACTCTGATGTAGTGATGATGAGGCAGTGGAACTCAAGATCCCAAAGGGGATGAGGAAGGAGAGTAGCAGTGGAGACCATGGGCTTCAGGTGAGCAGACTTCTGTTTAGGAAAGTGGTAGTGGGAATCCCATAGGAGGCAAATCCAAAAGAAAAGGACCTCAAGGAAGCTGCAGGCCTCTAAGAACACCAACCTCCATGCACAAGAATAGTCTGTCCCTGCTCTCAAGAAAAGAAGCAGATGTATCATGACAGTGGCTAACCCTGGAGACCACAATGCAAAAAGGCAACATGAAGGTGTTTGAAGGAGGGACAGAATACAAAGGAGATATTTAGAAATGTTGCCTGGCAACATAAGAATGATGTTAGGAAAACAAAAGCTCACCTATAGCTGATGTTTGTAAAGGACATCAAGGACAACACAAAGAACTTCAGCCACCCTATTAACAGCAAAATGGTAAAAAATAAAAATATGGGTAGTTTGCTGGAGGGGACCAATAATCCAGTCACATCAGGTGCAGATAAGGCTGAGGTCACCAGTGCTTTCTCAGCTTCATTCCTTACTAACTAGGTCTCCCTTTCCTCCATGCTTAGTGAATGAGTTCAAGGATGAGAACTGTCAAGAGCAGGTGAGAATAAAGCAGGATTACTTGAGGGGACTTGACCCATAAAAGTCCATGGAACCCACTGTGCTATCAAGAGAGCCAGCAACCACCTTTGCAAGGCCACTTTCTATCCTCTTAGAATGGTCGTGGAGACCATCTCCGAAGGGAGATTCCCAACAACTGAAGAAAGGCAAATGTTGCAATGATCTTCAAATGCTGCCACAAGGAAAAAAGGCCAGAATGTCTTTAGTCCTTGGGAAAATAATGGAGTGAAGCCCCTTGGAAGGTGTTTCTGAGGACCTGGGGGAGGACAAGGTGACTGGGAACAGTCAGCATGGACTTACCAAGGGTAAATCATGCCTGAGCAACTTGGTTATCTTCTTTGATAAAATTACTGGATTAGTGGACAAGGGGAATGTAGTCATTTGCTTTTATAATTAGGGAATAAATCAAATGTTGGAGTTTTAATCATAGTTCTGTGTGGCACTCAGGGGGAAATCTATGTGGTATTTCCTTTGGAAAATAAAAGACATGGACATAAGGAGAATCATTAGGGTTCAATATTTGTTTCAGAAATAAACAAAAAAAGATAACACAATTTCTTCCAACATGTATTTTTATTTGTTGAGTGGTTTGGTTTTTTTTTTAAATCTGAGAGGGTCAGATTAGAAAAACTGGTGTGATTTGAGTTGAAGCCCACAAAGTCGTATAGCTACTGTCACCATGTATTTAGAAGGCCTACTGAACATCTGCAAAGACAGAAGAAAATTCAAGGACATGAAATAGTGAAATGGATGAGTGACTGGTTAGAGAGACCTGGGTTAGAAAAGCCTTTGTCAAAAAACATCCATTTGAGTCAGGGCATAAGAACAAATGCTGAATAAGTCTCTTATCATAACCCTGAAAAACATCTGATTTGTGATTTACAAGGGAGAATATTTATTATGCCATCCTGACCAAGACAGCTTGAAAGCTGTGGGCACAGCAACCCAGTGCTGGACTTACCCTGGGAGCACTAAGTAAAATTTTCAACAACAAATCCATCTAATACACAGGAGTGGTGTGAGAAAACAGTTTGAACAGTGTGTGGGTAAATCAAACTCTAATAAAAATTATCTCTAGTAGCTTCACCATGCTATGTTGTTTCAAGTTTGCTGCAGATTGCACTGCCTGGCAAGTTCCCTGACTAACTAGTTTTCCAGCACTGCAAAATGTGGACTCAGTTTATCTAGTCAATAATTTTGTGTGTTATTTTTCCAAAATGAACAATGCTTACATTCTTTAAGCACAAAATGCAAACTGAATTTTTATACTGAAAGTATAGGGATAGAAAAGCAGACAAATACATTTCTATCTTGGGCCTATCTTCAGTTTCTCTATTTAACAGATGTTTAGTACACCAGCTATTCTATAAATGTTTTAACTCTGTGTGTGCATTTAGATTTTTTAATCTTCACAGAAAAACAAACCCTACAAAACCTATCCAGCACCACAACTCATGACAGTAAAAACAGCTGTGCTGAATCAATGACCTCCTCCTGCATCTCTTAGCAATTAGGCTCACAATCCATAACAGTATCCACGTGAGGCAAAGAAGCATAGCGAGAATGAATGGTGAAAGATAATCTTCCAGCAGTGTGAAAACTGGCAAGAGAAGTCTTCAGTTCCAGACCTCTGAACAGAAAGACATTCTAGCTCTTCAAAGCCATCAACTTTTGTGCTGTAATTAGGATGCTTCCATGCATCTGAATTGTGTTTGCAAAGCAGTACTCTGTTATGGCAACACTTCTACAGCCAATTTCAAATTAGGTTAAAAACTATTTAAATTGACTACTGTGCTTTATTGTTCTGTGCATCAGATTTCTCTTTCCATATTTCATACATTATTATATTTATAAACAAAGAGGAATAAAATTACACAAAAGGAGAGAAAAAAATGTAGCCAGTGACTCTCACTTACCCATCCATGAAAACCTTCTGGGTGAGTTGCAACACTCAACACACGGTAAGAAAGTTTGGCACATGGAATGGGGTGTAATCAAACTCCACTGCTTCCTCCAAGACATCTACTCACTCCTTTCAGCACTAGACATTCAACTGATTTGTTTGTTAAGAGTCAGCTTCCAGACCTCTGTAAACCTCATTCTCAAGCAGTGAATATGGCCCTTGCTCCCTAATTGAAAAAATCGAGTTTGATATTTATTCTGGGGCAGAGAAAATCCATATAATGTAACAGTAACAGGACACAAAGCACTGCTCTAGTATAAAAATCACTCTGTCAGATCAAATTTGTTCCAGACATTTTGATAGTTCTGGGGCAGAGAAAATTCATATAATGTACCAGTAACAGGACAAAGCACTGCTCTAGTATAAAAATCACTCTGTCAGATCAAATTTGTTCCAGACATTTTGATAGAATATCTTTGCACTTGCAAAGCTTTACACCAGAGAGGCTATTGTCTATTCTCGCACAGCCAGCCAAAATCATAAATCCAGCATGAACTTAGCATTGCTTGCTCTGCTAATTCAACAGGAATGTGATCACGTGCCCAAGTCTGGCCTATCTTTTAGGCAATCACATAGTGCACAGATCTGGCACTAAATATCATTTAAGCATGACCAAAGAGGCAGCCACTGTCAGGTGAAAAAACAGTATGGGTGAAAAGACCAACAACCATTTATGTCTGACACTTTTGATAACCAATCTCAAAATTCTCATAGCATGGAAAATTTCATTTTCTGAAAATCATTCAGAATTACTAACTTACATGTACTTTGTCCTGCAATGCCAGGTATGAGCTATATTAAAACTTGAAAAGGACAGATATGGCAGGTTAGGCAGCCCATTCACTTGCATTTTGCTCACTGTGGGGATGATAACAAGGAGAGGGCTCGCTCTTGTCTTCATAATAGTTTATGAAATGGAAATATACTGCTTCTCTGAGTATTTTTACAATCTTTGAAAAATGTAGCAGTATTGCTTCTTCACTGACAGTTTTAGATTCATAAATATTACATAAATTTTAATTCAACACGTACATGAGCAGGTATCTCCCTCCAGTGACTCTATGGAGATATCAAGAGCAGTGGCAGCTGTATTAACAGTGTGTTAAACAAAGGAAAGAAAAAAAAAGAGAAAGAAAAAAATATACCTCATACTCACAAACCAAGAGGACATCTAGCAAAGCTTATTGTTCTTTCCATTCACTAGACAGTAAATAATCCAGCATCATACCAGCAAAACCAAAAATGAGATCCTGAAAACTAGCAATATCAGGGCAACTACATAACTCTGCTGCACTCTTAAACAATGTCATTAGTAAACAAATAGGTTTTTTCTCTATTTATGTCAACAATACATATGAAAAGGTATCACTAAATAACAGAGGAACCTTATGTGTAAGACATTCTTTTACCTCTCTAAACAGAAGGCGTGCTACCAGATCTCAATGTTGAAAACTTTTTGGGACATAATATCTTCAGGAAAGCCATTCGAAACCTCATATGACAGAGAGGGTAAAGAAATGGGTTCAAAGAGGAATTGATCCACAAAAGCCAAAAGGTTGCTTCATAGAGGGAGTTATGGATGCACTTTCCTTGGCAGGCCCCACGGATAATCATTAATAAAGAGTATGGGGCCCAGCAAATGGCAAACACACAGACAATTATGGCAAGAGACTTCGCTATTTTCTTGTCCCGTTGCAGTTTTGATCCAGACCTTGAACAGAAAGAAGCAGAAAAGTCCCTTTTGAGAGCCGTAGAACTGGTTTCTGTTCGAGACGGACCATGAGCCACCCCTGCTGGTCTCCATGACCTGGTTAGTGATGAAACACTGTCCTCTGCTTCTGACGAAGGAGATGATGCCCCTGGCAGATTCTAGGACTGAACACCAAATAGAGCTTAGAAATGATGAATGATAATATTTCTTACTTTATTCCTTGGATATCTTCTGAAACAGAAGAACGACAACACTCAAGAAACATCTCTTACCTCTCCACATATTTTGATTCATTCCTCTTTTTGCTTCAAGAGATCAGTTTCCATGCAACTGCTCATTGTCAGCACATGTCAATCACCCCCTGCAGTAATTCAGATCCTCATCTGATCTTCACTCAGTCCATCTCACTCTCTCATCTTCACTCAGTCCATCTCAGTCTCTCCAAATGCTCTTCTTACTTAATTTATCCAAGCCTAAGCACATCCTTGACTCAACCTAGTTTTCATCACCACCAACTCTTCTAATGGCCAAAGCCCAAGTTCCCCACATGCCTGCTGTCTCTTTCCCACCTGGACCTTCCCATCTCCTGTGTAAAGTAATTAAATAACTTCTAGTGCAGGTGGCACGAGGGTAACATTGAAATCACAGGCAAGGCAATCTCCTAAGTCCTAATGCAACATTGAAGCATCATAATTTCTCTCTTAAAAAATTGTACCAATAACAAAGCACCATTCAGCTTAAAGTGTCAACTGTGAAACATTCTGAGTTTTATAGAAATCCCAACATATATAAAGCAATAAATAGAAATGTTAGCCTTACAGCTTTTGTAACTGACAGGAAACGGTCGTAGCTGATAAGGACGATGTTAAACACTGAAGCTGTGCACACGAGATAGTCCATGACCAGCCAGAGCTTGCACAGGCTCCTTCCCAAGTGCCATGTCCCTGTCAGGGCGTAAGGGATGTACAAGGGCATACAGAACACACCTGTGAAAAGAAACCAAATGCACACGTCAGTCAGCACTGCACTGCATGAGAGCGGAGAAGTATTTCTGCATAAAAGATTGATCAAGACTGGCTGGAATTGCCACATAGATGGCTTTGTGTTATCCTGCAACCAAAGAACCTTTACTACAAACTAGGTACTAGCAACGTTCTTATAATTAATACCTCTCTGAAAGGTGTATCATGTTTATTATGTATCATTGTTATCTTTCCAATTAACACCACCTGCTAAAAGAAGGAGCAGTTGACTGCTCTACCTACGGAAGTAAACACTCTTCTGTTCTATCTGCTGAAATTAAAACAAACAAAAACATCTTTCCCCCAGTGTAATCCACTGTTTTCTATAACAAATTATCCAATTGCCATGCTTCCATACTCTTAGAAGCATAGGTGTCAGAAAGTGTTTCAGAAGTTAACTTCTCACAGAAATATGAGTTTCAGACTAATTTTAAAAACTATACGATCAAAAGGCTGACAAGAACAGCACCGTTAATTAAATACACCCAGCCTAACCTTTCTCCTCATCTTAAATCTTGATAATAACCACTTTTCAGGGGCAAGCTGATAGGATATTATCTATGGTAATTCATCAGACTGTGAGAACACAAGTGACCCACTCGCACCCATTGCCGCCTAAATTTAGGCTGCTAAATCCAAATGTTGTCAAAGCACCAATATTATCTCATTTTAATAGATTTGGAGGTGATCACCCCACATAGAATCACACCACAGCCTTGGGATGTTTTTGAGCAAAACATTATAGATTTTAACACTTATATCAGGAAAAAACTTTGGTTTCAACTTTAGATTTACTACCTAATAGTGTGAACTCCTGTAACAGAGTATCTTGAGAGTTTCCATTTCCATAAAAATCTCACAATTCCTGTTGTTCTCTCTGTACTAAGAACCAAGAGATCTCTATTCAAACCCAGCTATAGGTACTGAAGCACAGAGACAAAGCAAAAATTGTGGAATGTCAAAAGCAACTAGATTAGGTACGTTAAAAGAATAAGCAAATGATTCTGAAAGCTTTTAGCAATTTAGATCAGGAAGAAAGTAAGGATAATTTAGGCATACCCTGAATCTAAATTATATAGCTACAAAAATACAAATCAGTTTGACTCTAAAGTCAAACTAAGACAAAGGCAAAGCTCTTAACAGAATTTATAATTAAAAACTAGACATTCAGTTAAACATAATATCACCCAAAAAAATTATGGAATGTAGGTAATGCCAAGTAAGCTGTACTTCCTTCTTTGGCAGAGAATGTTATTTACTTTGTATTTCTCAGCTAGACGCTGGTGTTTGTTCAGTATGATGCTAGATGGTGAGTCAGATGAGAGAACACCAGTTTGTTCACTGGTTTTATGCTCACTGCTCTGTTTTTTTCCAGTGTACTGTAACTGGAGAGCAGGCAGCAAGAGCTCTGCAGCACATCAAGGGAGAATAGGCTGGAAGAAGACATCAAGCATATGCAGGGAGATATCAAAACATTATACAAGGAGATATGGACATCACAAGGATAGGACTATTACAAGCTGTGCCTCTGAAAGAACTTCTGGCACTGGCAAAAAAAATTAAGTTTCTTCTCTCCTTTTAGTATACTTCTTAAATGGATACTTAAAAAAACATTGTTGTGATATGCAAGTCAGAATACAGATTTGGTTAAATGACCACAACTATTTTAAACCATCCTTCTACACACTCAGTAATTTAACCAAGGCTTTTAGCAAAGACATGCAACACTTCACAGAATATTGCAATACTCCAGTCTCCAACTGAACATCACACTCCTGTTTTAATTGTACTTTTTCTCAGTACAAGTTTCAAAACTGTGTCCCTATGTATAAATATATATGTAGCATCAAATTTCTTAGAAATTGCTTTATTTGTAATTTTTTATTTGCCTATACAAACACATATTTCCTAAGGTATTACTCTATATAGACCATATACAGCAAAATGATTAAAAATAGCATTTTTCTCTATTTAGTCACAAACCTGAGGTGGTGATCTGTGTTGTGTGATAGCAGATTGAAAGACAAGATATTGACCATGTATGCAAGAGCTGTCAGACAATATAGGCTGTATTTGATTAGACTATCTAAATTTCAGCCAAAACTCTTCACAAACAGCTCCCATTCATTGTTAGTCCATAAAATTCCCACAGTAGTATTTTATCTTGAAACATTAAACATTACCTGCTTACCTAACAAAGCAACCTTTATTTTCTGACAAATAATAGGCTGCATTTTGTGAAGTACGTCGAAGGTGGTATCCACATCCTTCCTCCAGATACAGCTGGGAAATAGTTCTCTCAGAAGAAAACACACGGAAAATAAACACCAGTGCTTCTCCTCAGAGTCCTACAACACAATCAGCACATGGCTCCACAGCTCTCACTTACCCACTGCAAAGTCAGAAACAGCAAGATTCAGAAAGAAATAGTTACTCCGATGCCTGAGGTTTCTGTCCATAACAAAAGCATCAGGATGGCTGGGCAGTACAGGAGGAATGCTAAGACCCAGATGGCCACCATCTTGATGGCAGAGCTGGACATGATTCCCTGCTGAGCTCTGTAAGATACCTGCAAGGGAAAAAGGACATGTCACATATTCAGACAACATTTTGAGGAAAATTATGTCAAAAAACGATACATAATCAAGTCAAATATAATATTTGTATTTCCCCAGACACCTAGAACATCTTCACTATGTAAGGTTCTGAAAAACTGCTAGTTTTGTTCTCCTTACATTGCAGCTCTGTGATTTATTTTAATACTGGACATAGGAGAGGAGCAGAAATTATGATGGCTAAATTATCATTTGGCTTCCAGGTATGAAAGGACATAAGCTTGTTTCCACCACACAGTAAAGTAGCAATAAGGAATTGGTAAGAAATAGGTTTATGATTCATCAGCCCAGGTTCAGCAGAGAGTGAAAGCAGCTGTGGGAGTTCCTACATGCCCAGCAAAAGTAGAAGCCTTCTGTACTAGACAGGTTGCCATGTGAGACTGCAAACACCAGACAGTATAATTTTTCATACTGTTTCCTCTTGCCATAGCAAAAAATCTATCCCAGACATATACTATAACACCCCCTGCCTCACTGATTCACTCTATTTTAATGTTAGCCTTACCTTGCAAACAGTTCATTCCACTACTGAAAATCTTGATGCTTTTATGTCTACTCAGACAGCAAATTAAGAATTAAAATAAAATCATCCAAGGTCAGGAAATAGAAGAGCTAAGCCCACCCTGTAGTAGCCCAGCCGTACTCTTGGTCCCCTCCATCTTTCACAGCACAGGAAAGTAAGTTAATGAAAAGCTGGACAATTTTATTTCCTCTATACTGTTGAACATTTGGCATCTCAGGCTTTCCTCAAAACTGCTGCCTTCCTCATCAGCTTCCTATACTGTTCATTAGCAGAGCACCTGCATGATACACAAATAATAATGAATGGCACCTTCACAGCCACACAGCACACAAAGGGCATTGTCCCCATTTCCCCAGCAAGTATGAGAGCAGCAGTTCAGGGTTATGCACATTGGTTTGGATTCTCTCTTTTAAGTATGTGTAGCCTGACGATTCAGACTCCTCTACATCTTAAAGCATCACATTAGCTCATTGCACAGCTCCAGGTGTGCAGTAATGAATTTGCCACCCTGTGCAAGATGAGCAGCTCAATTTAGAGGCAGAAAACTGGAAGCTGGGCACAGCTTCACAAATTGTTATGTCTGGAGTGACTAGAATCTGGACACAGGCTAGCTTTGCAGCAGAGGCAGAGGTGGATCCCAAGTCTCTGAGGAAGCATGGTTAACAGCCCTGTTACACATTCCTGGACTCACTCCATCCTAATACCCTAAAGAAGAAAACCAGAATGTGATCATGTAAATGAAGACCATCAGCAATGGCACAAGAGCATGGGTCTCGGCTAGATTACAGAGGCCCTTTTAATTTACAATATTGTTATACTGAGCTCTGCAGCTTCATTGATGTCTTAAATACAGGGATTCTTATACTTTACTCTTCAGCTTAAAAAAACCTCAAAAAATCCAAACGCAAAACCAAAAACTAGCAAAAAACAACTGTAAAAACCACACCACTAGGAAAGAAAAGAGAAAGTGATTAGACATTGTATCAGCACCTCTCAAATTAGAATCTCCCAGTCTAATATGAAACATGTAATTCAAGCAAGCAGGCTCATCACCCTGGAGAAGAGAAGGCTTTGGGGTGACCTGACTGCAGCCTTCCAGGATCCGAAGGGCAATGGCTTTAAACTGAAAGAGAGTAGGTTTATACCAAAGTTATCCAAAAGGTTGACATTCATAAGGAGTTAAAATAGGATGGGTCAAAAATCCAATAAGCATCCAAAAAAAATTTTCTCAGGAGGGGAAAAAATAAAAAGCTTTTGATACTCGATGAATCTAGTTTTCTTAGGATTCTCTTAAAGCACAACTCTAGCAAAGTTCTGGATAAGAAATACACAGTTTTTTCAAGCTCGTATTTTGAAATGCAAGTTCTTCTTTAAGCAACATGATCCTTATCTGTGGAGGTTAGGAGGGTTGATTTGAGGTTCCCTCTTGCTTCCCTCCCTCCCTTCCTGATGTGTTTTACTTGCTAGCAAACCATATATGACTATATATGACTTTTCTAATTTTTTTTTCTTCAACCTGTGTACCTATCCTAATGAGAATTTAAACTACTTTTTAATTCCATCCTTGTTTATCTGACATTGTTACAATTCAACAAGCTGTTGGTCCCTCTCTATTTATACTTTTTGCTGAGGAAAATCATGGTCGACTTTATTGTTGCTACTCTCCTTTTTGTGCACTCCAGGGCTGAAAACTGATACGATGTAAATAAGTATACACGCAGCTACTTACCAGAGCAGTTAACCTGTAATGGTCCAACCCTAAGATCAGCTCAAAACTCTCACTGAAATCAGTTTCAAAAATCTTAGCAGCAGCTTCAGCAACACATCATCAGCTGCTGTTTCCCCAGAACCCAGGAACTAAATACAGACTCCCTGATTGAGAATGAGAGCTTGGCAATTAACTTTAACAGGATGAGGCTTTTCTTTCCACACTGGTGCGAAAAATCATGCGTCTTTCACAAATGCTTATATTTTGTATGAGTAATGAAGCCACTTGCAGAGAGCTGTGAGTATTCTACAGTTGTAAAAATTCAATCAATCATTTTAATCATGGGTTCTAAAAACACTTTGGTGTCTAATTTTAAATACTTAAATTTGAAAAACGTTGGCTGTCGTGTCTTCACCTCTGTTGTGGGAACAAATTCATTCGTGTTTGTCAAGTGCTTTTACTGAATGTTTGAATGGCAGTGGTACAAAAATGCAAACCTTTATTATCCATGCAAATATCTTCACAGCATGTACGTCCATCACCGGTTTGGCTTTATTTCGTGTCCAGGTACTGCAGAAAACACCATGTGGCACAATTACTAAGTAATACCAGTAGCCATTCTTCTGCTAGCCATACTGAAGCCTCAAAACAAAATTCAGCAGTTTCACTGTTCATGAGAGCCTACTGACCTTGCCACATGGCTTAAATCTCGGAGTGTTTCCAGGAGTATATAGCTGCCTAATTGTATTCCCTCTCCCTCCCTCAAAATTTCTTATTGGATCTTAGATCTAACTTGATTTCTTGAAATCTTAAATACCCCACTCTTCCAAACCATGCTTGGAAAGCCTGTGTGTTGCAAGGCATCTGCACATATGAAGTTAGATAGGAGATCCACTTCATGAGCTTTTAGCAGAATTTTTCTGTGTGTGTGGCTCTGACAAGGATTAAATCAGTCTAGAACACGTCTAGCTAGAAAAATATTGAAGCAGCTACTAAACTGTAAGAATCCGTGTCTGCTTCCATTTTTTACTGAAATAGACATGCTAGGCAATAACACATAGCAAAGATGAACACAGGAAAAGGATCCACAAGTAAATGTCCCATCTTTATCTTCCTTTTTCCCCCACATTAAGTACATACTAAACAGTAGAACCAACACCCTGAATTACCTGCAATATGAAGAAATTACTAACAGTCCAGAATTGGTATGCTGCTGTAAGAAAGACAATTATCTTTACTTTTAAAAGTTAAGATTTTAAGAACATGACTTTTCATATTTGAGCATGGAAGATTTCCAGATGCATGCAGGACATTTAGAGGAAATGACTGACAGTGAAACGACCAAGCAGCTCTTCAGAAGATACCCAGCTAATGAAGTACCCCAATCAGAGAGCAGGTATCTTAGTCTGCTCATTTAGGTTTGAGATTCAAAGAAAAAAAAAATTCTGATACTACCTTGTAGGAAACTCTAGTGCTGTAATGGCTAATCTGTGTTCAGCTGTATTCCTGATTCATTTTCAGAATAACAAAACAAAACCAGGAAAATAAAAAGATATTAAAACAGAGTGGCCAAAAAGATAAAAGCCACTATAAGATAAAAGCCTTTCCTGGTAATGTTATGTTTTTTTGTTGACATATTTTTATGACAGGCAATTGTACTTTGGGTATAAATTAATTCTATCATCCTTCTTTTCTTTTTTTCTTTTGCCAGGTAATGAAATTTGTAACTCTTCCACAAGCGAGCAGGATGTCTTAAACACCTTACAGTATTTGACAGCAAAAATGGTTAAAATTGCTGCTTCAATTAAAAATAAAAATTAAAATATCTTCTGGTACGTTATTTGTAAAGAACTTTTAAAGTTAAGAGTCGTTGTCAGACATTTTTGTAATTTCTTTCTCATGTTGTATCTACCTCTCAGAATAAAGGAAGTTTAAACTTAGGAAATGGTTGCAAACAAAAATAGGAAGGGACTGTAACTTCTCTAACCAAAAATGTCCACAAGACAGTCAGACAAGTACTTCATGCTCTCTCTTGAAAGAAATTGTGTGAAAATAAAAATGCATTTCCTTTCTGATGGTCCATTTTCAGACATTTTAAAGGACAGGATTCATCTTGCTTACTGACTTTATGGTCTATTTCACTGGTTCCTTTAATTATGCAACACGAAATTCTCATCTTTTCAACAGGCTTCTGGTGTGCCAACCATCACAGAACAACCCTCAAAGAACTTCTGTAGTAGTTTCATCACATTTCTTAGCTCACTGCCCACGTTCAGTCTTCCATATGTCACCAAGCAGCCCCTGTCCAGCACCTGGTCAGGAGCTGCACAGGCAGGATCAGGCACTCCAAACACCACACTCAGCCCCATGCTTTCCTTTCACAAAGGAGTATCCAAAACTCTCTAAGTGACCTGGTGTATGAATGACTCTAGCCCCACTCTCAGTACAACAAACTACAGAATTCAATTACTAATACAAGACATGTATTTGACTCCAGGAACAGAGAAGAAGAGAAATCAATAAGTCAGCTGTTGTTTGGTGGGAAGGGGTGGGATGGAGCAATGGCTCCAGATGCTGCAGGACATTTCTGTTTCTTACACATGTCCTCATAACAAGGAGCTCACATGTGTAAGAAACAGAAAACAGAAAATTTGTGTCTAAGCTCTACTTCAGAACAGCAGAAGAAATCACAAAACAAGGTGAAAATATATCTATGGCTTTACTGAATTCTCTTCTGAATACAACATGTCCATAAAAGATAAAGCAATAAGGTCCAGGGTTTTTTTTGTATAAATATGTGCAAAATAGTATTTTAAAGTTTTCTAAAAATAAATTAGTGTTCTGTTTTCTTTTTGTTGTCCTTCTTTATCTTTTTGCTCTTTCCAGCTTGTCTAGATGATTCTTCCTGAAATGAAAAAGATGCATTGCAAAATTTAAAAAATATTCTTGTAAATCACAAGATTCTCCCAAGGTTACCCATGATAATTATTTTTAGTATGAACAGCATTCACAGTTCACAGAGATTTATGAAAATTTGGACATATTTATCCATTCACACAGGTTGTATTACTTTTCTTCTGGCTTCATCTAACAGTGGAAAGTCACACAAGTTCACAGGCAAATGCCTCCGTTCTGGAGGGATCAAACATACCGTTGATGGCACATAGTCGTACTCTACAAGTACATTTCTTGCACAATTGTTTATATGCTTGAAACGATCTGGTCCCAAGAGAATACCTCCATACCAGCGGGACACCACAACCAACACATTGTGGACGTTCAAAATCTGTGAATAATAGAAAGCAATAAAAGTTGTTATCTTTTAATCGAACCTGGTTTACTGCTGACACCAATTTGAAAAATAAAAAAGGTCTACTATCTTTTATTTTAAAAAATTACTGAGTTACCTTTCTTATTCTTTGGTATGATCAATTATTACTCTGTCACTAAGCTGATTGTCTATTCACATTTTTGGGAGTGCTGGTGGGTGAGGCTAATATCAGCCAGGCCACAGGCATTACACACATGGATATATAAAATGCCATAAGCTAGTACTGTTAATATGTGCATGTTAACAATGATTAATCATCTCTGTTAAGGAGAAAAAAAAGAGATATCTGACTAATTTGCATAATACTGTTAGAAGAGTCAATCATTGTTTGTGAAAAAAGAAATATTCTTAGAATTTTAAAATGAAAAGGACTAGGGCCATGTGCTGTGACAGGAATTTTCTACTCTACATTTATGTATTGGCCATAAAGTCTATGTATAACAACTGCTGACAGTAAACAGGATGGTACTAATCTAAAATACAGTGTTTTGTAACCAGAAAGTGCTATTTTGAAATGCTGGTCTTATCTGAAACAAGATTAATTTCTATTAAAAAAAAAAATACAGGAATTTTCTACTCTACATTTATGTATTGGCCATAAAGTCTATGTATAACAACTGCTGACAGTAAACAGGATGGTACTAATCTAAAATACAGTGTTTTGTAACCAGAAAGTGCTATTTTGAAATGCTGGTCTTATCTGAAACAAGATTAATTTCTATTAAAAAAAAAAATTAAAAAAAAAAAACCCCAAAACCACAACAAAAAACCCTATAAATTCAGCAACAATAAATGTTTTAAATTACCTAATTTTCATACCCATACATCATAAGAGCTCAAAAAAAAAAAAAAAAAAAAAAAATAAAAAATCCATGAACATCCAAAAGCCTCAAAACAAAATTCAGCAGTTTCACTGTTCATGAGAGCCTACTGACCTTGCCACATGGCTTAAATCTCGGAGTGTTTCCAGGAGTATATAGCTGCCTAATTGTATTCCCTCTCCCTCCCTCAAAATTTCTTATTGGATCTTAGATCTAACTTGATTTCTTGAAATCTTAAATACCCCACTCTTCCAAACCATGCTTGGAAAGCCTGTGTGTTGCAAGGCATCTGCACATATGAAGTTAGATAGGAGATCCACTTCATGAGCTTTTAGCAGAATTTTTCTGTGTGTGTGGCTCTGACAAGGATTAAATCAGTCTAGAACACGTCTAGCTAGAAAAATATTGAAGCAGCTACTAAACTGTAAGAATCCGTGTCTGCTTCCATTTTTTACTGAAATAGACATGCTAGGCAATAACACATAGCAAAGATGAACACAGGAAAAGGATCCACAAGTAAATGTCCCATCTTTATCTTCCTTTTTCCCCCACATTAAGTACATACTAAACAGTAGAACCAACACCCTGAATTACCTGCAATATGAAGAAATTACTAACAGTCCAGAATTGGTATGCTGCTGTAAGAAAGACAATTATCTTTACTTTTAGAAGTTAAGATTTTAAGAACATGACTTTTCATATTTGAGCATGGAAGATTTCCAGATGCATGCAGGACATTTAGAGGAAATGACTGACAGTGAAACGACCAAGCAGCTCTTCAGAAGATACCCAGCTAATGAAGTACCCCAATCAGAGAGCAGGTATCTTAGTCTGCTCATTTAGGTTTGAGATTCAAAGAAAAAAAAAATTCTGATACTACCTTGTAGGAAACTCTAGTGCTGTAATGGCTAATCTGTGTTCAGCTGTATTCCTGATTCATTTTCAGAATAACAAAACAAAACCAGGAAAGTAAAAAGATATTAAAACAGAGTGGCCAAAAAGATAAAAGCCACTATAAGATAAAAGCCTTTCCTGGTAATGTTATGTTTTTTTGTTGACATATTTTTATGACAGGCAATTGTACTTTGGGTATAAATTAATTCTATCATCCTTCTTTTCTTTTTTTCTTTTGCCAGGTAATGAAATTTGTAACTCTTCCACAAGCGAGCAGGATGTCTTAAACACCTTACAGTATTTGACAGCAAAAATGGTTAAAATTGCTGCTTCAATTAAAAATAAAAATTAAAATATCTTCTGGTACGTTATTTGTAAAGAACTTTTAAAGTTAAGAGTCGTTGTCAGACATTTTTGTAATTTCTTTCTCATGTTGTATCTACCTCTCAGAATAAAGGAAGTTTAAACTTAGGAAATGGTTGCAAACAAAAATAGGAAGGGACTGTAACTTCTCTAACCAAAAATGTCCACAAGACAGTCAGACAAGTACTTCATGCTCTCTCTTGAAAGAAATTGTGTGAAAATAAAAATGCATTTCCTTTCTGATGGTCCATTTTCAGACATTTTAAAGGACGGGATTCATCGTGCTTACTGACTTTATGGTCTATTTCACTGGTTCCTTTAATTATGCAACACGAAATTCTCATCTTTTCAACAGGCTTCTGGTGTGCCAACCATCACAGAACAACCCTCAAAGAACTTCTGTAGTAGTTTCATCACATTTCTTAGCTCACTGCCCACGTTCAGTCTTCCATATGTCACCAAGCAGCCCCTGTCCAGCACCTGGTCAGGAGCTGCACAGGCAGGATCAGGCACTCCAAACACCACACTCAGCCCCATGCTTTCCTTTCACAAAGGAGTATCCAAAACTCTCTAAGTGACCTGGTGTATGAATGACTCTAGCCCCACTCTCAGTACAACAAACTACAGAATTCAATTACTAATACAAGACATGTATTTGACTCCAGGAACAGAGAAGAAGAGAAATCAATAAGTCAGCTGTTGTTTGGTGGGAAGGGGTGGGATGGAGCAATGGCTCCAGATGCTGCAGGACATTTCTGTTTCTTACACATGTCCTCATAACAAGGAGCTCACATGTGTAAGAAACAGAAAACAGAAAATTTGTGTCTAAGCTCTACTTCAGAACAGCAGAAGAAATCACAAAACAAGGTGAAAATATATCTATGGCTTTACTGAATTCTCTTCTGAATACAACATGTCCATAAAAGATAAAGCAATAAGGTCCAGGGTTTTTTTTGTATAAATATGTGCAAAATAGTATTTTAAAGTTTTCTAAAAATAAATTAGTGTTCTGTTTTCTTTTTGTTGTCCTTCTTTATCTTTTTGCTCTTTCCAGCTTGTCTAGATGATTCTTCCTGAAATGAAAAAGATGCATTGCAAAATTTAAAAAATATTCTTGTAAACCACAAGATTCTCCCAAGGTTACCCATGAGAATTATTTTTAATATGAACAGCATTCACAGTTCACAGAGATTTATGAAAATTTGGACATATTTATCCATTCACACAGGTTGTATTACTTTTCTTCTGGCTTCATCTAACAGTGGAAAGTCACACAAGTTCACAGGCAAATGCCTCCTTTCTGGAGGGATCAAACATACCGTTGATGGCACATAGTCGTACTCTACAAGTACATTTCTTGCACAATTGTTTATATGCTTGAAACGATCTGGTCCCAAGAGAATACCTCCATACCAGCGGGACACCACAACCAACACATTGTGGACGTTCAAAATCTGTGAATAATAGAAAGCAATAAAAGTTGTTATCTTTTAATCGAACCTGGTTTACTGCTGACACCAATTTGAAAAATAAAAAAGGTCTACTATCTTTTATTTTAAAAAATTACTGAGTTACCTTTCTTATTCTTTGGTATGATCAATTATTACTCTGTCACTAAGCTGATTGTCTATTCACATTTTTGGGAGTGCTGGTGGGTGAGGCTAATATCAGCCAGGCCACAGGCATTACACACATGGATATATAAAATGCCATAAGCTAGTACTGTTAATATGTGCATGTTAACAATGATTAATCATCTCTGTTAAGGAGAAAAAAAAGAGATATCTGACTAATTTGCATAATACTGTTAGAAGAGTCAATCATTGTTTGTGAAAAAAGAAATATTCTTAGAATTTTAAAATGAAAAGGACTAGGGCCATGTGCTGTGACAGGAATTTTCTACTCTACATTTATGTATTGGCCATAAAGTCTATGTATAACAACTGCTGACAGTAAACAGGATGGTACTAATCTAAAATACAGTGTTTTGTAACCAGAAAGTGCTATTTTGAAATGCTGGTCTTATCTGAAGCAAGATTAATTTCTATTAAAAAAAAAAATTAAAAAAAAAAAACCCCAAAACCACAACAAAAAACCCTATAAATTCAGCAACAATAAATGTTTTAAATTACCTAATTTTCATACCCATACATCATAAGAGCTCAAAAAAAAAAAAAAAACAAACTACAAGATCCATGAACATCCAGAAATCAGCACATAAACTACTTTAATCTTTTCCTATGGTTGAAAATTGAACTTTTCTTATCCTTATCTTAGTATTCTTCCAGAATGCAAATATTCCCAGTAACTAGGATTACAGATGGAGAATGACGATCCCTATGATTTACACACATTCACATTTGAAAGCGACATTCATGTCATGTTCTGAACTGGATTTTTATGGAATATTAAGTGCCTAGACAATTTTCAGAAGTGTGTACTAACATGCTGAGAAAAAACTGATACTCTCAGAACAAACTGAAGTACAGTAACTGCCAAATTGTATCTTTATATTATTTTCGTAACAATAATGTCTTCACACTTAGCACATATACTTGCATATATTACATAGCCTAAGTTTGTTTATTTATTTAACCTTCCCAAGTCTGGTTTGAGTTATTTTAGAATTCTGAAAAAGTTCGAAATTAAAAATGTCAAAATGTTTCCATCTACTATATTTTTTTTCAAGGAAGCAGCAACATGAAACTATTACTGAAATTTGCCCTTGGATTCTCCATGTCATCTCCTTCCTCAGGGGGCACTGCAGTAAAATTTTGGGTGTATTTTTTCATAAAAAACACAGCTGCTTAGGCCTAATTTTCTATAAGTCATGCTCAGAGGTCTACTGACCAATAATTTGGTTTGTTACCAACTTATTTCCCAACTTCTGAACTTAGTTACAGGTGACATAATGAGAAAGAGGCTCCTAGTACTAGATGAAAAAGAGGAAGCAGTAAGTATGTGCCAGTTCCTTTTTTTTTTTTTTTTCATTGGGATAATCTGAGTGAAGGAAGCCAGATCATCATCTGTGAGAACAGAATATTCAAGCAAGAAAAGGACAGGAAAATAAACTCCTGCTGTGAAGGGAACATCAATCTAAAATAAAAATAAATATTTTGTCTGCTTACACAGCTAAGTGACTTGAGGCACAGCATTAAGATGCACACAGCTGTCTCCTGCAGTTGTGCTACTTTAACTACAGTTTTACTAGGGCTTGCATCATGAATCAAAATTTATCAATCTCAGCTCACTCACATTTAGTAGCACCTTTGCCAAATCTTATTTCAATACTTGAAGACTAAAATATATGTGAGTATGAGGGCTATGGACCCAGAACAGGAAACAGCACAACAAAACAGACTAAATTATCAAAACAACTTAGCTCCTTCAGTCCTTTTGTATTTGAAGTTCTACTCTGCAAGTTCATGTATTGGTGTCTTTTTATTACGCCTACTCAAGGGAACCACATGACAGGTTGTGCACAGGTCAGCTGTTTTATTGTGACAGTCAGCATCTCCCAGTATTTATCTTCTGTGTACCTTACACCACACAGGAAGCACAGCATTTAAAACTTAGTTATCTTTTAACCCATTCAAACTATTACTGCCACCTATGAAACATCACTTGTTTCTATGGTCTGAGACTTGAAAGTGCTACGGTCTGTGTTTCTCCTTTCACCTTGAGAAAGCAATCATCTGGCTGGCTGCTAGCAGAGCAAAAATCAAAATAATCTCCTACAAGCTCATTTACATCGTAGTGATTTTTAAAATCAATATAAATTCAAGACTTCCAAAAGCCAAAGATTAATTTCTACAACCTGCATAAGATGGAGAAGACGTCCACCTGCTGCTGTCTCTCCATCATCTTCACAATCCTGTAGGAACGTCTGCTTATCTTCACAGTATATTCTATAAAAGAAAAAAAAACCATAAAATAGATTTTAAAATGTTAATCAACAAATATTTCTACACTATTAATAAAGTCTCATATCTTTCATACACGTGTGCATCAATTCTAACTCTCTATTACACATATTTATATGAAAACAGGATGAGGCATAGGGTAAACCACAAGCGTTTATCTGTACAGTACAAGTTTTGAGAAGCTTTTACACAGACTTTAGCTACTTCAGGTAAACTCCAGTCATTACCAGTTTAAAGTCCCTAAACAGAAAAATACCCAGGTTTTTAGCCTAATAATTGCATGTAGCTGAAACCAACTCTACCAGGTACAGATTCAAATAACGGTATAAACCTAGAAGAACTTGGACAAAAATATAATTAGTAATTAATTATGTCTGTATTTCAGCAGCAACATGAAACTATTACTGAAATTTGCCCTTGGATTCTCCATGTCATCTCCTTCCTCAGGGGGCACTGCAGTAAAATTTTGGGTGTATTTTTTCATAAAAAACACAGCTTAGGCTTAATTTTCTATAAGTCATGCTCAGAGGTCTACTGACCAATAATTTGGTTTGTTACCAACTTATTTCCCAACTTCTGAACTTAGTTACAGGTGACATAATGAGAAAGAGGCTCCTAGTACTAGATGAAAAAGAGGAAGCAGTAAGTATGTGCCAGTTCCTTTTTTTTTTTTTTTTCATTGGGATAATCTGAGTGAAGGAAGCCAGATCATCATCTGTGAGAACAGAAATGCCCTCTTTACAGAAACTTTTTATTTAGGTAGAATCTTGTACTTTTTGGTAAAATAAGCTTTCACTTGCTCTCATTTCATGTTTCATTAGGATCACAGCAGGATGGGCATGAATGGATAAGCACCTGTGCATGCTTTTTTAGATGACTCAGTTCCTCCCTTTTTTTGTCACTTACATTCCTCAGAAAACCCACACTGCTGTCTGGACTGAGACCAATTCATTTAGGGTAAACCACAAGCGTTTATCTGTACAGTACAAGTTTTGAGAAGCTTTTACACAGACTTTAGCTACTTCAGGTAAACTCCAGTCATTACCAGTTTAAAGTCCCTAAACAGAAAAATACCCAGGTTTTTAGCCTAATAATTGCATGTAGCTGAAACCAACTCTACCAGGTACAGATTCAAATAACGGTATAAACCTAGAAGAACTTGGACAAAAATATAATTAGTAATTAATTATGTCTGTATTTCAGCAGCAACATGAAACTATTACTGAAATTTGCCCTTGGATTCTCCATGTCATCTCCTTCCTCAGGGGGCACTGCAGTAAAATTTTGGGTGTATTTTTTCATAAAAAACACAGCTGCTTAGGCCTAATTTTCTATAAGTCATGCTCAGAGGTCTACTGACCAATAATTTGGTTTGTTACCAACTTATTTCCCAACTTCTGAACTTAGTTACAGGTGACATAATGAGAAAGAGGCTCCTAGTACTAGATGAAAAAGAGGAAGCAGTAAGTATGTGCCAGTTCCTTTTTTTTTTTTTTTTCATTGGGATAATCTGAGTGAAGGAAGCCAGATCATCATCTGTGAGAACAGAAATGCCCTCTTTACAGAAACTTTTTATTTAGGTAGAATCTTGTACTTTTTGGTAAAATAAGCTTTCACTTGCTCTCATTTCATGTTTCATTAGGATCACAGCAGGATGGGCATGAATGGATAAGCACCTGTGCATGCTTTTTTAGATGACTCAGTTCCTCCCTTTTTTTGTCACTTACATTCCTCAGAAAACCCACACTGCTGTCTGGACTGAGACCAATTCATTTCACATAATCTATGTTCACAAAAGTTGCCAGGGGCAAGTGACTGCCAAACTCATTTTTACCTCGTATTTCAGCTGAAACTTCATATGCCAGATGTCTGCATCAGGCTTTCTGATTCGACTCTTATTTCAACTGAACATTTTCAGCTATTTCTAAATATAAGGTTGGGGGGAAAAAGAAGTTACTTCACCCAAATAAAAACACATTCAGGATGATGTAGCATTTCCATGCTCAGACATACTACAAAAGTATACCAACACATGGTCAAATCCACTTTTTTTCCTATTCTTAATGCTGCTTCACTGTCTTATTTCCTACTGTATGTTCTATGTTCTTGACCTCAAATTCAAAATAACACCTGCAACACCAACCATACAAATAAGAAACCTATCCCTAAAGCAAGGAATTTCTTTTAATAGCACGAAATTTAATAGGAAGGAACTTCTTTCTCATGTCCTGCACTCATTTGTGAAAGAACACTAAAAAGATAAATAAAAATCATTATTTGTATCTCACCTGTAAGCATATATGTTGTGGGTAGCACTTGCAATTTTCTTGTTCTCATATAGTTTTTCAAGAACTCTTTTAACCTACAAAAAACAACAGAAAAAACCTTCCTTTTATAACAGGGGTTTCATACATCCCTCTCAATATTACTGCTAAACAAACATCTCCCTAATACTACAATGAAACAATTTTATGCTTTGACATAAAATGTTTGGTGTGATGACTCAAGAAGAAGCTTCTCAGTATTGTTTAGAACTGTTTTCCTGGGATACTGAAAACAGCTTGTCCCTTGAATTTCTACATTGTGTACATTCATATTATTGCTCAAGATGTAGAAGTGTCAAATTGTTTTATTAAACAAGAGACAGTAAGATCTAGAAAATATTTTTAGTCAATATTAAGTATCAACTGCACCTGCTCATTTTTTTTAACAATAAAGTTAAGCTGGAATAGAACACAACATACATATTCCCATTACACACTGCTTTTACTTATTTCACAAAAATATGATCTTTAGAAAGCCCTAGTACATTTCAAGTTCTTCCTTTTCCCTCAAACATGCTTTTTTTCAGTTTTCACTTAAAAGAAAGAACACCTTTCTTTGTGTTCTTATATAAAAACATCCTATTATGTTTATCCTTTAAATAAAAACATCCCATTAGGTGTCTGAAAGTGTCAGTATTTCCCAGAAAACAAATATTCCCATCATGTGGATGATCTCTTTGCTCTTAAGAAGTACTAAATTGAAAACATTTACCAATATCAGTTTGTCATATGTTTCTAAGTAAACAAGCTGGCAATTGTTCAATGCTTTCCAATGGTCTAGCAAAAAGAAGAGCTTTTGATTAAGACATCATTTTAGTGCATAATACAAAACATTACTGAAGTTGAGAAAGCTTGGGAAAACATGCCTGGCAAGTAAATTGCCTTCCACACAAAAACAAATGTCTCAGAAGAGTAATCAACAGACACATTTAATATCTGCCCTAGCTATACTGTGCTACTTCCAATTCTTCTTGAAGAAATTCAACTGACAAAAATCATCTCAAATAAAAGATATCTCAATTTTAAAAAGTCCTGTTATTAGTAGAGAATATTGCTTCAAACATCTGTCTTCTCCTTACTTTGAACACTGAAGGAAGACAATTCTTATTACTTAATAGACTTTCATAAACATGGACTGTATGTTAAAACAGTAAGTTTCAATACAGGGACTTAAAGGACAATTCATATGAAATGATCATCACCTTTGACATTACTTATTTCCCAGCTACCTGGTTAGTGAAAACATAAAGATTCATTTTTGTGCTACAGCTGTATCTTCTTCAAGTGAGTCTTTAAGATATATATATAATAAATGAACTCTTGTTACTTTAGAAAGGGAAGAAATGGAAATCATTGGCTTAATGTATCTTTTTCATTTTAAAATACTCTCACCCTTTTATCATGATTTGTGAGTAAGATTGTTCCTACACACACAAAACTCCACATGAATGTACAGTGTATGTTAACTTGGAAGGTCAAAATGCTCCAGAAGGGATGCTGGGATTTAGAGACCAATTCTTATGTCCATATTAGGCAAATAATTGAGGGGGAAGAAAAAACAAAACAAAACACAGATGGCTTCAAACATTACAGCTTTTGTATAGAGAAATCAGCCTAAAAACACTGTCAGCCTGGCAGTGTTTTTTCATAGCCACTGAGTATGTAGTCGACCTAGCTTACATGGAACTTCAAGCACTTGACAATGTCCCTTACCAAAAATTCTTTAATAAAATCTTAAAATTGCATTACAAGAAAGAGAAAAATCCTCTCAAGGTTTAACTCAGAGTTAATAAAAGAAAAGAACAGTAGTTTCCCCTCTAAAAAGGGATGACCAAAGGAGGCTGATGGTAACAGATGGAAAGTGATGTACAAGAGAAGCTCCAAACCCCTCTCAATTAGGTCATAATAAAGATTTACTTGTGCATGATCCAAGTGAATTTTTCAACAGAATTCCTTTCTGAAGGAGGGAGAACATATATAAACACAATTTATGTGTTAGCTTTTCCAGCCAACACACGACAGACTCGTTAACTTCCAAACATCTTATGATAAACGTGCCAACATCCAGAAGTCACATTACAGGGTTCTTACTCTCTTCCATGTAATGCACATAGTGGTAAAGCATAGCAGGAAGAAGAGCTGCTACTTCACTATTCAGCTGACAGTGAAAGCGAGAAACCAATGACTAGTCAGACAGTACTAGCACAGAAAGATGCACAGACAGACCAACATATCTGGCAAATCCCAAATATTCCAGTAATACTTTGTCAAGCTCAAAGCAAAAGCACAGGCAAAAAGAGAAGAACTGATCTCTACTAACTTGTCTGGTTGTCACCACTGGAGCCAAATGTGCCTGGAAAGTGCTCCTTCGATCTGTGATTGGGTTTCCATGATGTATGGGGGGCAGTTCTTCATCTATGGGTCACAAACAAGGGAGTGTTTCTTTTCTTTTAAGAGGACAGAAACAATGCATGGGGCTACAAAAGTAAAGAATGTCTCAACTTTAAGAAAAGGCACTTATTAAAGTGAAGTACAGAAAACAATGTACAAACCCACCAAAAATATATTGCGTCTTTTAATGACTGTTATTAAATGTTCTTGTAATTCACTAATTTTATTCTAAAGTAAGTCACTTATTCTATTGTAAGTCACTAATTTTATTCTAAAGCTGAGTAGAAAACCAGAATCTTCAGGTCTCATTTAAATTATTTCAACAGAATTAAAAAGAGCATATTTTTTACCTTCCTGACTTTCAGATGTCATATAACTTAACATTTTAGTTTGATCTTCCTGAGTGGGCTGATAGTCTAGGAGAAAATCATCTCCATCATCTTCATCAACTTCTTCAGTGGTTTTCTTAATATCTGGTTCTACTAAGATACAAGTAGTAGAATTTATTACACATTTTTTGCAAGACAAGCAAAACAAAATTTCAAACTCTTTTTTCTCAAAAGTCTCTGTCTTCTCAGTTCAAAACAGTTTGACATTAAAAATTATTAAATGCAGAATAGTAACATTAATTACAACAAAACTCAAAAGTACTCAGCCCAGTATTAAGTTAAAAATTCCTGAGAATTAAAAATAAAATACTCATACTATGGGATCCTTCCATAAGACCTTCTGTTTCAATACTAAGTAACAGTATTTCTAAGAAAAAAAGAACAATGTTTACTATTTCCATTAAACATTCAAAATGCTACCTTTTATCTGAATTTAGGGATCAAATTAAGTTGATGGTTCACAAAAACTCTAGGCATTTACTGGTCATTTGGGGGAAAATGTAGAGCTGTTGCTCAGTGCCACTTCATGAGGGTATAAAATTATTACCAAAAAAATTATTAGATTTGAAACTTCTCTCTCAACATGCTTCAAGTACGCCGGGATTCCAAAAATCCAAAAATTTTCTTCATGCATAGAATGTCCAAAAAATAATAGTCAATAACAAAGGAGGAAATATACAGGGTTCTGACATCTGGATTTAGAGCCAAATTAATATATCACAGTTGCATTCCTATTTAGAGGACTATGATGTGCTGATGACGCAGGTTTCATAATGTATGTATTTTCCATAAAAAAAACCAGAGGGGTGATAAAGCATGTTCAAAAATGGAAGCCGTAAGGTTGTGGCCAAAATACCCAAACTTCCAATATTGTCAGTAAAATTTTCACTTCTCACTGTCCACTCTTTTAGCCACATCAGTGAAGAATGACTTCTCCAATGTCTGATGTAGCAACAAAATGCACAGTTTATTGAAAGAGTAACACTAGACCTTACCATGAAACCACACTGAAAATGAACTTTTTTTTCTTCAGAATTTTATTTCTCACAGGAAAAAGGTAACATCCTGACAGAGAAAAGTAATTCTGTTTCCTTTTGCCACTGTGCATGCACAAGTCACTCACACATTTCATAGCAGTTTAGCAACTTGATGCACAAAACCCCCCAACAGTTTTTGAAACAACAACGGTGAATTTACACAAACTCTGTAAGAATAACAGCAGAAGAATCACTGCAGCTCTACTGATGATGTACTTCTCATCCCAATACAGTAAAATGAATGGAAGGACAGAAAAGTAAAATGATGGAATACTTGGCCATTTGTCTGCATAGTCCACTGAAGTTATCTTCTCTTGAATCCCAATCCTCCAACAGTGCACTCAACACCAGAAATTAATTACTGGTATGAATGCTTTGCAGAATGGAGGGCAAGACATAATGTACCTGTGGGCTGCACTGTCCTCTCAAGCAAATTTCATTCCTGAGAGAACTGCGGACCTTGTTCCAGTTCAGAGGCCCACCCCCACCTTCTTTTCCCTGCTGCTTTTTAAAAAGGGACACCATAAAACAGTAAGCCCTGACACAGGAGACTGTTCTCTGATATTTAGATCCAATTCAAAAGTGGGCCTAAACTAACTTGTACTGAAATCTTACTTTGCAGTGGAAGAAGAAGGGAAATAAAAACCCCATGTATTTTCTGAAGTACCTGGATCTGAAGACTGTGCCTTTTCCACCAGAACTTCTCGTATCTTCTCCACCCACAAATACAGTATACTTTCACCAAGGTTCTGTCTGCAAGTAAAAGGTCATGGCAAATGAAGAATCACTTTTGCTAATTTCACTTGGAAAGTACACAAAATAACACAGAGATTTCAGACACAGAAATTGAACATAAGCTAGTGAGATAAAGAGCTCAGGCAGGCTTGTGTCAAGTGCTGTCTCAGTAGCTCACTGGGCGAAAAACTCATCGGTGGACTGTGATAGCAGGTCAGTGGAGCATTGGAATGAAACACTACAGTCTGGGTATTAGGCAGTGCTATAGGACAGGGAGATAAAGATTTAGGCCTAGGAGGCTTCACTCAGGGGAACAGGTGTGTATTGAGGTACTGAGGGAGGATATGATGAATACACGCATGTTAGGATTTAATAAATGCTTCCTTTATGTGCAGCACAACCCAAACAACCCAAAATACATTTCAAATGGTTAAAATGGTTATGAACTATGCACGTTTGTCTAAGAAACAAAACTAAAGATTTAGGTCCATAGATATCTCATGGTTTCTCATTAATTTTACTCTTACTGCCACCATCTGGGCGCCAGCTAAGTAACAAAATCTTGTATTTAAACTCTGCTTAATGTATACAGCACTACTGCTGGAAACAATCAAATTCAAATAAGCATACTTATTTTAAGAAAAAATATTCAAGCAAAAATAAGGATTTTATGAACTTATAGCTCTCACTTTGAACTCCAGACAGACCCCAGAACAATTCAACATCCTAATTTCACAAGCTTATTGTACAGAAGCACTGCTTTAACATCTGAAGACATTTTTTAAGTGATGGAGAGAGACTAAAAGAAGAATAAAATTTCCCTGTTTTACAAAACTAAACAGCAATTTGTCCAACTATCACCCAATTACAGTTTCTGAATAGTTGTAAATTACTTTGTGTCTCCTAAAACAGACTTGTGATCTATAAATATCTATTTTTTCCATAGCAATTGACAGTGTAGTTCATGTTGGTTTAGACTGCAGAACTACACAACTTAGATCCCTAGGGACTAGAAACCTGGTCAAACACAATGTAAAATAATGCAGAGTATCTCTGTTCATCTGACAATCATTTAGACATTGAATAGATAAAAGGTTTTCACAAATACTGTGCACATCAGTGATCACTCCAGGTTTTTAAACTGTTTAAAATGATCTAAAGTACATATATGGCCTAAAGTACAAACACTTTCACTTCCTGCTGAACAAACAGAAGTGAGCGCAGACCAGCGAGGACTCTGACCAGCAGCTGATATAGAGAGAAGGGAGCTGAACCAGCACAATTTGACAGTCTACAGGACTGCACGGGGCGAGGGAGCAAAAAAGGAAACAGCAGCTCTACCTGTGGTAGAGACTCCATCAAATCCTTCCTTTGAAACTGGACAGAATTAAGGACAACCTCTGCCCTTTTTGCTGCACTGAACAATTGTGGTGAATATGATCACACAGAACTTTTCATTTAAAATCCTTGCGCATTTTTAACACTGCAAATTAAATTTTACTTCTTAAATGATCTGTGGCTTAATTAACTAAGAAACCCAGTTAATAAAAGTAAAAAACCCTTATGCAAGCTAAGTGGTCTCTTCCTTATGGCATTAAAAAAACATTTTTTATGCAAGATGCTCAGATTTCACTGTCCGGGGCATGATTGTGCTTCCTTACATTTTCATTTCATTTATTTTATATAATCTCTGGGATCAAAAGAAATAAATTAACCATATAAAATTACTACATTTTCTACCCCACTTTCACAGCAATTCAAAATCACGTAACTTAAGTATTTCTAAACTTAGCCATTTATTCTCATGCATCCATTATGCCCTGTATTAGTTAGCTGCACTCTGTGATAATAAACAGTCCACAATGTTAAAGATTCCAGATAAAAGAATCTCCACATCTTTATTTTAAAACTTATGTATCCCTTAGCTTTTAAGAAAAACTGGCATGCCACTTATGCTCTTAAGACAACCAAATGTTTTCACATCCTGTGTTTTAACATTCAAGCGAAGAACAGATAGAAACTGAAAATACATTGTCTCCTTTTACTATATTCCACAGTCTCAAACTTACATATATATTTCTTCCAAGCTATTTGCTAGTTCTTTATAATCTTGTCCTCGAAGCCAAGGGGCACTAGAATGAAAAGAAATGCAATAAAAATTGTGCTATATGCTGCTTCCAATATTCCCAAATAAATGTGATGAACATCTTGAAAATAAAATTTTGCCAACCATCAAGATTCCAGCTGCAAACATCTTGGAAAAAGCAGGATAAAGAATAGAATATCCTTGCTGGAAACATCCCCAATCACTGGTATACTTCAATTCAATGAGTATTTTAACTAAACTTCCACTTACAGGTAAACAATTAGCAGCGGCAATTCATCAAACACAAATATTTGCAAGAAAACATCACCTACTTTAGTTGATAAATAGGTGGCTCTGCAGTTGGATATCCTGGTGGCAAAATCACCTGAAAGAAATTCAGGATATGTATTCATTGGACTACCCTCAGCTAGATGAGTTTTACTGAAGGACTCTGATGTCAGGCACCAGGACTACAATTAGTGTTACAAATGAAGAAAGCAGTTGGGTATGTTGCTATACAATTGCAAGAAATGCTGAATATCTGCATTTAAAACTCCAATAATGGTAATGCATACAATTATGTTTTATGGGGCAATTTATAAGGATGCAAAATAAAGTACAGAAAAAAAACTGAAAGAAGCTGCACACATGGTTACTGGACTTAAAAAAGTGGTACCACATTTCCCTAAGTAGACACTTACATATTTCTTACACCAAGTAAACTTACTGCTTTCAGCTCTGAAAACATAAAAGTAAGGAGTTGAATCAATTAAGCTGATCCAAATTTGCTTTTGTCTCAACCCTTTCCAGAAAGCAAATCTAGATGCAACTGCAGTAGATTCACTGAGGCACAAAGTCTCCTCAGTGTAAAAGTATTTCAGAAATTAGTCTTTGGTGAAATACACTTAAATGCTTTGGTTAGGCGTGGAATCAGGATATAAAATTACTGAATATATCACAAGCAAACCAATGCGTTACAGGAAGAATCACTGAAAAGTCTTATCACAGACTCCAAAAGCTTCTTAATCATCTGAGGAGATAATAAACCATATTTAAAAGGTTTCACCTGCATCAGTCTAACTGCAAAATTCATGCTAAACTTTTTACCACCACTATACCTGCAAACAGAGGGTCCATTTTGGTTGATCCAGACAGTCACTAATTTTAATGCAATAGATTTTTTCATCTTCATCAACAACACACCAATCATCACCATAGATCGATGAAAGGGCTTCAATTTCATCAATCTAAAAAAAAGAAAAAAAGCAAAAGTAAATACCCCCCCATAAAACCCACACAACTTTTTGTGTCAATGATATTTTCATCTTTTTAAAGTCTTTCTCTTCTACAACTCATTGACAGACGTGACAAGATTCACTGCACTGGAAGGGGATCCAGTCCTGATTCACAGGAGTTCAGGTGCGCCAGGGGAGATTTAAGTTGGACATTAGGAAGAACTTCTTCACAGAAGGGGTGATTAGACATTAGAGTGGGCTGCCCAGGGAGGTGGCGGAGTCACTGTACCGGAGGTGTTTAAGGAAAGACTGGATGTGGCACTCAGTGCCCTGGTCTAGTTGGCTCGGTGGTGTTCGCTCACAGGTTGGAGTCGATGATCTCAGAAGTATTTTCCAACCTAACTGACCCTGTGATTTTGTAAGTAACCTTTGCTTAGTTCTCACATACACACAACAGCTTTTTAATTTCTCTGGATAATCCTGTCATCTCAGCAGTGACAAGGCGAGCACAGTGACAGGGAGGAGATGCCAACACGCTCCCTGCAGCTCCCAATCGGGTGCTGCACCCGGCTGGTTGGGTCGGACCCCGGCAGGGGAAAGACCCCGAGGGTTTGGCACTAAGCTCGTCCTGAGAAGGAGCGGACACTCAGCAAATTCCCATAAAGAATAACCGGGGAAGTGCCTTCCACCTAGAAATGAAACAGGGGAAGCGCGGCGGTGCAGGCGCGCCACAGCGGGCACGGCGCCGCTCCGGGGCCGGGGCTCACCAGGAGCGCCCTGAAGTCACCGCTTTCCCCGCGGGCCCCTCCGCCGCTCACCTGCTGCTGGGCCCTTTCCGTGTCACCCGCCGCCATCGGACCCGAGGGGAGGAGGAGGAGGAAGGGAAGGAGCAGGAGGAAGGGAAAGAGAAGCAGGGAAAAGCCGAGGGGCAGCCCGGCGCTGTGCGCAGCCGTGGCGGTGACGCTGCGGGCTCTTCCTTCCGCCGCGGGGACAGAGGGAGCGCTCCTGCCTCGCATTGCCGCGCAACCTATGTCCGTCTTGGATGCTTTTCCCGTATTCCCTACATCCTGGTTTTAAACAAAAATGTGTAAGCAGTTCTGTTTCACTGAGGATTTTACTGATGCGACCGTTTTCACCTTGCGTTTATGGCGCTCTGGATGCAACGATTGACATAACTACAAAATTTCCTTTTAAAATTATTTAAAAGAGTAACAGGTGTTTCAGGCAGTTTTCAATACAGTTCTAGAAATCCATTTCTTCTACTTAAGCTCGCGAAGCTTAAGGCATCTCTTTTAGAGACGGCACTGATCAGTAAAGGTCTCCTTTCATGCAAAGCATGGGTTTCACCGTTTTTGCAGTTTTTGTAATTTAAGGGCTTTTTCCAGTGTGATTTTATACTGACACAGTTGGGAAGAATTCAAGGTAAACTTCGCTTTGCCTTTCTCGAAAGCATACAGAATTTGTACCCATTCTGGAGAACAGGATTAGGGTTCAGAATAATTGTGACAATCAGGCGAAACAGACAAAACAAAAACTAAAACAAAATAACAACTTACAGAAAAGGGAAAGGAAAAAAAAAATCAACAAAAAAAACTCCAAACTACCCAGGGTGCTACGGAGTATGGACAAAACTAGCACTGTATTATCAACTACATACATTCTGGATGGAGAACTACTGATTGCACAGCAGTTCTGCAGAAATTATTTCAGAGTTAGAGTGAATCCAAGACCATCTTTGTCTTCAGTGTCACAAACAGAGTTGGTTTATTTATTTTTGAAAGATAATAAAAAAATATATCCAGTCTCAGAACTGACAGAAATGCATATTTTATCAGACAAAGTCACATTTTCCAGTTAATTTTAAAAGAGATAGAGAAAGAAACATAGACAGACAGTGAGCTTACTGTTTAATCAATTGCCTTCTGACCAAAGCATAACTGAAAGCTTTAATCCATAAGGACCTAGAAAAGATGGTGCTCCATCTGTTCATCCTAATAGTAAATTGCCTTATAAATCTAAATAGAGAACTATGACAAAACTTAAACTTTCTGACAACAATCTCTGTATGATGCTTGTGCTTTATAAGTTGCTAGTTTTGACTTAGCTGGACGAGTGACTTTACATTACTGTACACATTTTTTGTTATTAAATAACTCCAAAATGTTATTGTCATTTTTTATGATTGTTGTCTCTAAGTCATTTAAAAGCATTGATATGAAAGACTTCAGCAATCTGCTGTTGGGGCAGATAAGGAGGCACAGAGAATAAATCACAAAACCTGTATGCACTGTAGACATCTCTGACACATTTCAGAGGACTCGCTAATTTCCTTTCATTGTCATTTATATTTGTTACAATTCTTAGTAAATAGAAATGGAGGTAAATGTGGCTAATGAATCTCCAGCATGTTTAGAGATACTGAATTAATAACAGAGTAGCTGAACTGATATGGTGCACAGGAGTATTTACCAGATAATTACTGTCTTTGTCTGTCTGAAACATTCTGCTAAAGCAGATATGAAATACATATCCACAGCTTTCAAACACAGAATAACAGCACAATGGAATTTTCTAAACTATTTGGGGTATTCTAAAAGAATATAACTGAACCTCACTGTTCTTTATGGTGAGGCATCTTCCAAAATGATACTCTTCACAGCAATGCATTAATTTTGATGTTTACAATGGTTACAAAGTCTTATCTTGGTCCATCAGTTCACAAAGACTGCTTTGTGAACCACAGATAGCAAAGAAAAACATTTAAAGCTCAAATCAAATCAAGCCAATGAAAACCCTGAGGTGAGGGAGCAGCCCAAATTGCTACCTTGAATTAAAATTCTTTATTCTGTCTTGTCAGGGCACTGGGTAATTACTCATTTCATTCTGCAACTGGAATCTAATACTAGAGCATGAAAAGCTTAAATGAGATACAAATAATATTCATTCAATCAGGAGCGAATCACAAACAAGTGAAAAACACAGAACTAAGAAATACAGAAGAATTAAAGTTTGAGTAAAATATCCATAACCCTGCTTTATTTTGCATACAACAGTTTGAGCAACATGATGCATTTTCAACTCCTCTTTTACAATAGAAAAAAGAAGATTGAGAAGAAATAAGTCATGTCATGTACTAATGATTAATCCCCTCAGTTCTGGACCCTGATTTTGGGCAGGATTTTCTTCCACTGAGACTATTCCAGTAGTGTCTTAAGAATAGCTCAAGGAGAGCATTTTGCTATAGTTACTTACCAACACTAAAAAACCACTAAGTTTTCTCTAATGCTCCAATTCCACTCTACATTCAATAGAAATCACATTCTGTAATAAAAATCTTAATTGGGCCATCCAATAATGAGCATTTATCCATTTGAGGACAAAGTAGTTCAGCTGATTTCAGTTCCACAGTGATGCATTTTACTAGACTGTGGTCTAAACTGACATAAATTAGCTGTAAGGTTCATAGATATAAACTCTCCACATGCAGCTGATTAATCATTTTGGAACTAAAACCAAACCAAACTGGTTCAGTCACAAAAAAGTGCATTAAACAAGCCTAGTTCTTGTTCTGAAACTACATGTCTGGTAAGACTAAGGAGAAGCATATGTACAGGTGGTTTAATACCTTGGTTAGAAATGTTTCTTCTCATTTAGCCACAACCCAGTTTTTGTGCTGGCTACAGCAGGGTACAATTGCCTTCTGTAGAGCTACAGAAATCCAGAAGCTTTTCTATGAAGTAACTACTAGCAGGTTTTAGGAGCCTCCTGAGAGAAGAGGACCAGCAGTGAATTCTCACATTTTCTCCTGCCATACCTGCATTCAGATAAAAACAGGCCTGTCAAAAAGAAACTTTTCTCTGTTATAGGATTTTTTTCCCTGCTACAAGATACCTCAAGAAACTACCTGAGCTTGCTTCAGTGCTGCTTTGAGCAGCAAAAGGCATTTCTCAGCTCAGGAGGAAATCCACCTCACACCATCCACAAATTTACTACATTACATGGTTATTGCCTGCAAAATATGAAAGAAACTTCAGCAACAGATTAGCATCTGCAAGAATTCCTATTGCAGGCAGTTCAGAACAATATAAACATTTGCTTTGATCACTGGCAGTTGCTCATGGTAATCCAGAGAGATCCACAAGAATCCCATCTGAGAGTGTCAGCACATTAATTCATTCTCCTGTGACTGTGTTTTGCCAGCCTAGTAAATAAAATCTGTATGGAAATAGAGCAAGGACCTGTGCATGCTGCACTGCTTTTCAGAGTTGGGGAGCAGTTTCCTCAAGAAGTGCACCAGGGCTGTAAGAAAGCTGATAAGGAACAAGTTTTTAGGACTGCTGGTGAGCTAACAAACACAGTCATTTAACATGTTACTGTGTGAAAACAAACATACAACCCATCATGTATAGTTTACTATTTCCAGTTCTCATTTCTCTCTGTGCACTCTGTTCCCCAGTCATATATCTCAAATTTGTATTCTCTAGTCTGAAGAGGAAGAACACAAAGTGTCAGTTCAATAAAGGTTGTCCCATTACAGAGAGGATATAAAAAATTCTATATACTGTGAAAACCACAGATAAAACAGTTCAGTGAGTTCTGTGCAAGGCTGTTTGCCAGTGTGTTCAGCCCTAAGATGGGCCATGTTTCATGCTTTCTGAATCACTAATTTCAGCAGGTTATCTGAAAAAGGAATGACATGAAAACCAAACCAAACCAAACCAAAAGAGAACAAACCCTCGATATCAGCAACCCTCTCTTTCTCATTTCCATACTTCAAAGTCCAAAATGCACTAGGACATTATCTGGGATGTGCAAGGAGGCAAAACAAGGGTGAAAAATAGACACTCTTTGAAGATGATGGAAGCAGGAGAAGTGTAGTGATCCTGGCCAGAAGAGCCCTGTACATCCAGGAGTCGGTGATTCATGGTACAGTTAAGTGGAGCAGGCCCAGGTCTGTGCTGTGCTGCCTCTGGGCCTGGGCTGTGGTGCACAAAACCCTTGGAAGTTCCTCGGCACAGAGTGCAGGCAGTTAGAGCAACTGCATGGCCTTGCTCTTACCAGAAGCACACAAGGGGTAAAGCTTCCTTGTGAACATCCTTTATGGAATAGCTGTTTTCTTGTAAGAAAACTAAACTACTGCAGCCAAAAAGGAGCCTTTCTCCAGAGAAGGGATAGCAGCCTGCCAAAGGAGAAGTCCATCCAGGATTAATCCAATGCTGCAGGAATGTGGGCATCATGGCAACTATCTCTGTTGGTCTTTACTTTGCCTTTTTAAATCATTAAATTTATTTATTTGTTTTCAGGCCTTTCTTATTCAGATTCAGAGAAAAATCCTGCACTAACTGGCTGAAGAGTGAAATGGAACTGTAAACTCTGTGTTGCATTGCAATGGGTTATAGAGTAGGTGGGTGACAATACCTCTATTTCATTATAAGACTTGTAAGACATACACAGTGATAATATACATATTTTAATTTTGTAGCCATGTACATCCATGTACATATCCATGTAAAATAAATACAAAATAGGAAAAGATTTTATTGTGAGGTTGCTTAAAGCATTTATGGCATTGTGAAAGATGGCTCAAAGTCAGAAGCAGGAGGAAGAAATAAAGGAAAAGATATATGAGGATGACACAGCTAGTGCTTTGAAAGTAAGGGCAGCAACTGCAAGCTCTGCTCCTAAGAAAAGAAAGCCAAGATGATCCTTCCCTGAAGCCTCTCAGATGTTATATAATTATTACTAAAGCATCCCTGGAAGCAGATCTCTTAAGATAAACTAATTAAAAGTAACAAAAGGCAGCAGAAGTTCAAACATGATACATTTGTGTTATCTGCAGGTGTGAAATTGTTCCTTTTCTTTTTTCTCTTTCTTCAAAGATTAAAAATACATGTAGCTATAGACAATACAGAAAAATGAAGCTTGCCTCCTTATTTATGCATGAAGAGTTTCAGAAGAACTGTTCAGGTCTAAACTTGCCCCCTTTTGTAAAAGAAGTTTCATCCTAATCTTTTATGATAGTTTGTCACGGCAGCTGTGGCTCCTGTCCTGCCTCTTCAGTGCTCCTTCTGCATGACACAGACTTGGTCATCCCACAACACTGCAAAGCTTCTTTGCTCCCTCAATAAATTGTTGCAGGATTTCAGAGGCACTGTGGGAGTTTTCAAAATGCAAAACCCCTCTCTTGTGCAAAAGGCAGAAAAACAAGGTACCAGCTCTTCAGATGAGAGGTGGAGTGGAGAATAAATAAGGGTAGGACAAACAGAAGGGAAGGAGCGGTGGACCAAAGGGCCTTGAAAAAAGCGAGTACTCCACTTTTTGCCTCTGGTAGCACCCAATTTCTCTTTTAAGCTGCTTTTGGCTGTGCTGTTCTTAGAAGCAGCATGTGTTGACAGTTTTCTTTCACCTGCACCACGGCCGTATACGCTACCAAAGCGATTTCCAAAAAAGACCCTGTTTTCCCCTCTGTCGATGCACCACTCTCGTAGTGTTACAGTCCCCTTTGAGGCCGGTTCGCCCCCGTATGTCTCTGAACGCCTCTCGGTGTCCGCGTCCCCGCCGCGTCCCGCCCCTGCCGGGGGCGCTCCCCGGGCAGAGCGGAGCCAAGCCCGCGCACCCGAGCGGCGACGGCACTCACAGGATAGTGGCACGCACAGGATAGTTAGGCTTGGAAGGGACCTCTGGAGATCGTCTGGTCCAACCCCCTGCCAAGTCTGGGTGACCCAGCGCAGGTGACACAGGAACGCCTCCAGGTGAGTTTGGAATGTCTCCAGAGAGGGAGACTCCATGACTTCCATCTGTTCCAGTGCTCTGACGCCCTCAACGTAAAGTTCTTCCTCACGATGAGGTGGAACTTCGCGTGTTTTAGTTTGTGGCCATTGCTCCTCATCTTGTCGCTGGGCACTAGTGAAACGAGTGTGACACCAAGCCGCAGCGGGCACAGGGCGGTGCCTGCGGGGCAGCCGCGGGGTCGCAGGGGGTCACTGTCCCTCCCTGGGAAGAGCGGCCGCCGCCGGCTGCGCCCGCTGCAGGCCCGTTTCTCTGAGGGCGGCGGGGGCGGGCAGAGTGCCCTCGGCGGGGCCCTGCTTCACGCCTCTCGGCTTTTCGGGCGGGCTGCGGCGAGATATCGACCCCCGGGGCGGCCCCCGTGCTGGTGCCGGTCTCGGTCACGGGGGCGGTGCGGCGGCCAGGCGGGCGGAGCCCTGTCCCGGCCCGGCCCGCCCCGCCGGGAGCCCGCGCCGCCCGCCCGCCCTGCGCGGCGGGGGGAGCTGCCGGGGCGCCCCTG